TTGCGGAGTCATTTCACACGAGCGGTGATCATGCCTATTGTGCTTCATCAGCATGCTATTGTAATGATGCTAATAGGTCGGGCATATTTCTTTTCACAGAGCATAAATAATTTATGTATGTGAAAATGCTCTTATATTGTAATGTCTTGGTATTGATGTGTCCTTGGGGGACCGATTCCTATAATCCTTGATGTACAGGTCTGGGTTGTGAACATGTATTTGTGGCACATAGTCAGCAATATTACAGATATATTACAGTCACATGCAGTCAGCAATATTACAGATATATTACAGTGACATGCAGTCAGCAATATTACAGATATATTACAGTGACATGTAGTCAGCAATATTACGGTTATATCACAGTGACATGTAGTCAGCAATATTACAGTTATCACAGTGACATGTAGTCAGCAATATTACAGATATATTACAGTGACATGTAGTCAGCAATATCACAGTTATATCACAGTGACATGTAGTCAGCAATATTACAGTTATATCACAGTGACATGTAGTCAGCAATATTACAGTTATATCACAGTGACATGTAGTCAGCAATATTACAGTTATATCACAGTGACATGTAGTCAGCAATATTACAGTTATATCACAGTGACATGTAGTCAGCAATATTACAGTTATATCACAGTGACATGTAGTCAGCAATATTACAGATATATAATAGTGACATGTAGTCAGCAATATTACAGTTATATCACAGTGACATGTAGTCAGCAATATTACAGTTATATTATAGTGGCATGTAATCAGCAGTATTACAGATATATCACAGTGACATGTAGTCAGCAATATTACAGTTATATCACAGTGACATATAGTCAGCAATATTACAGTTATGTTACAGTGACATGTAGTCAGCAATATAACAGATATATCACAGTGACATGTAGTCAGCAATATTACAGTTATATTATAGTGACATGTAGTCAGCAATATTACAGATATATTACAGTGACATGTAGTCAGCAATATTACAGTTATATTATAGTGGCATGTAATCAGCAATATTACAGATATATCACAGTGACATGTAGTCAGCAATATTACAGTTATATTATAGTGGCATGTAATCAGCAATATTACAGATATATCACAGTGACATGTAGTCAGCAATATTACAGTTATATCACAGTGACATATAGTCAGCAATATTACAGTTATGTTACAGTGACATGTAGTCAGCAATATTACAGTTATATTATAGTGACATGTAGTCAGCAATATTACAATTATATTACAGTGACATGTAGTCAGCAATATTACAGTTATGTTACAGTGACATGTAGTCAGCAATATAACAGATATATCACAGTGACATGTAGTCAGCAATATTACAGTTATATTATAGTGACATGTAGTCAGCAATATTACAGATATATTACAGTGACATGTAGTCAGCAATATTACAGATATATTATAGTGGCATGTAGTCAGCAATATAACAGATATATCACAGTGACATGTAGTCAGCAATATTACAGATATATCACAGTGACATGTAGCCAACAATACATGTATTACAGATATACTACAGTGTCTTACAGCAACACAACAGCTACGGTTGTATGTGCTGGTAATACACTGCCAGTTCCATGCCCCTCATCAGACACTTATCCATTCCCCGCTGGAGATCAATCTCCCCTGTAGAACCACCGGGCGTTTATCTTGCTGATTGGGAGTTTCAACACAAACTCACGGCCCCACTCGTACCACGGTTTCCATGGCTGGAATAAATTTCAATAATGCATATTCTGAACTTTTCTGGTAGAGAATTGCACCTATTATACGGCGGTTGTCTGTTACTGAACACGTATGGTAAATACCTTCAAACACAGACCATTGACACGTGAACTCCAGTGGAAAAACTTCTATGGAAATTGAATTTCAATCGTAAAGAAATTTACAGCGATAATTCTTTAGCATTGATCTTTTTCAGTCGCTGATAGAAAACCTGCATGACACGCATCGGCGTATGATAATTATTTAATGGCGTCTCTCACATGAAAGGGCCGAAAACTGTGATGTTTCTTCATTCTATGTAAAGTGATGGATGTAAAGCGAGAAATCTTTGCCTGCGGGGCCAACAATCACATTAGGGGGTCCCGACAAACAATCCACTGCTTGTGGTCGTGACAATAACTGTAGATACAGCGACACCGGAGATGCAATAAGCACATCAATTGTCTACCCATGGAGGGATCTCTCTCCCACAGCGGCCATCGGTAATCTATTTGACTTCATACGACAAGGCTCCGTACTAACACCGCTTTCTCATGACTCGTCACACCCGCAGTGTGTGGAGTTGTTGAAGGGCTGGCGTTTAGCCTGATGAAATGAAACGTTTGTTGCCGGTTTACTTGTGTTTTGGATGAAAGTACTTGACACTTCTTCCTGTACATGGAAGCATTGTATTGCAGAGTTTTTAATAATTCATCTTGTTAGAAATTTAAAGATATATTCCATTTAAGTCGTGTATTGCTTGTATTTTGGACGTGCGATATGACCTCAGATGTACTGGTTATAGCGAGCACACCTATGACGAAATGACAGATGGTACGAACGTTTTTTGGGGGGTCCCGGTCATTTACAACGAACTATGGTTATGACGAACTACATTTATAACTAGCTGATGGATATGACGAACTGTTGTTATTTTTTTCATTTGGACCCGACCACTTGATGTATATTTTAATCGAAATACGCACAGGGAACTACGATTATAACGAAGTGAATAACTAGCTGATAGATATAACGAACTGTTTTGGGTTTTTTATTTTGCTCACGACCACGTGATGTATATTTTAGTCGAAATGCGAACATCGAACTTCGGTTATATCGAACTACAATGAATTGTTCCCTTGAGCTCGTCATAAAAGCTGTTCACTACACTTGACATACTTTGTCAGTATAGTAACATACATTTAGAACGATTGATTTTTTTTCTTTCATTTTTTAATCAAGACATTTGCGTGGTGTATCAGTTACATTAAGTATTTATTCGGATTAGTTTGCATAGACTTTGAAATGTTGCTCCGGGACATTGTTTTTAAGAGATGAGGGAAGCTCGAACACTGCTTCGTTTCAAGAATCAACAGACGCAACTGGATATACTATGGATTCAGGTTTTAAAGACAGTGTTGGTTGTCAAACATGGATTACTTATGACTTTGGAAATTTGAACAAGATGTATATATACTCATGCCAATAATGGTTGTCACCCCCATCAATTTTTTTAATTGGAGCGGGGGTGAGGTGTGTGTGGGTTGGGGTGGGGAGGGGGGTGACAACCATTATTGGCATGAGTATATATTGGCAACAACTATGGTTTACGTTCTGGATTTAAGACGATGCATCAATCACTGAGAAACATCTCTGTGTGTTTCTGTCTACCATTTTTTGGTATACTGGTAGTATAATGGTACCATTTTGTCTGTATATTGAAACCGTTTTGTTGGCATACTGGTACCCATTTTGTTAGCATACAGGTATGCGCTATGAGGGTATATTGGTACCCGTTTTATTTTGCGGAAACGTGTATCGTGGTATTTTGTAAGAACAGTTGGGTAGCCTTGTGGTTAAAGCATTCACTCGCCATGCCGAAGCCTGGGTTCGATTCAACGCATAGATACAGCATGTGAAGTCAGTTTACTGAGTCCCTTGATATTGCAGACATATTGCTAAAAGAGACATAAAACTATACTCACTCATTCACTCAATGTCATTGTACAGTTAAAATAGTTTGCTTGGGTGAGTGCCTTAGCTGTACTGTATCATGGTCGCTGTTTATATACTTTGTTAGTATACTCGTAACAATTTAGTGTAGAATGAAACCTCCTTAATGCGAACCTCGATAATTGTTCTGAGGAATTGTCTAATTGTTTACAACAATATAGTTCAACGGTTCTTGTGCAATGATATCACGTGGCTAAAGAAGTGTTGTTTTTGTAAAGTGTATGGTGAGTGAGTGAATGCTGTTTAATGCCGCAGTCCACAACAGTACATCGCAGCGTATTCAAAATATGTCTGTACATGTTCATGTACTTTATACTGTGACATTCCACGTTGGTCCAAAACATCCCCGGTATCAGAACAGACAACCTGATCATAGACTAACGCTTAGTCTCTGAATATATATAATTTTGATAGTAACAAACAAACCATTTTAAATTGAAAAGGAGCCCCAGGGAGACCATTCTCTTCCCACAGAGGTTACTCCTGTCATATCTTCCTACGTAACCTCTGTTCTAATACGGCCATATTTCCCGGTTCTCGTAAAATCCCCTAGCGGCAAAAGATCGTAACACGAATTATCTCCCTTCTTTCTATCCAATCAGAACACGTGTTACATCGACTTAGATTCAACTTGACTAACACAAGCAAATGTGAGGCCACAAATATCCCCCATCTGCCGGGGACTTGTGTTGATGTTACATACAAGACGTTTAATGGCTAGCTTGTCCGTTGTCAACGAGGGCGATGGAGACGCCACTGATCCGCCATAACATGACTGAGTTCTGTCTAGAAGAAACGTTTGCGCATCGCGCAGGGGAAGAGGTTTAGTTTTCTCGAAGTATACGGAAATTACCGAGGCTTTTTTGCGAATGATCACTTTTGAAACAACGTTGCTGATTGCACAACTAAATCTGATTACCTCCAATCACGAGTCTTGAACGCTCACACCATGAAAGGGCCGTATTAGAACAGAGGTTACGTAGGAAGATATGATAGGAGTAACCTCTGTGGGAAGAGAATGCAGGGAGACCAGAGATTCAGAATCTGAGGAAATCTAGACTTGCTTTGTTTAGGGATTTAGCACGGCAGATGGGGCTTGGCAGTAGGGAAAATAATGTGGTTCAGGGACTGTGAGACAGACTACCTGATCATGTGCAAGCATGGTGTGTTCGAACCAACCCGAACCCTAGCCATCCACGAATTATGCTGACCTAAGTGTTTAATGTTTGCTGTTAATGTTTCAGGTTATTGTACCAGGGACGAAAAGCTATCCAACGTCTGTGGCAGAATCACCGGGGACGACATTCTTCACACCATTGTAAAAGGTAAGATAGTGCTAGAGAACAGACCACCTCCGCGGTGTAGTGGTTAGAGCGTCCGCCCGGAGAGCGGAAGGTCGCGGGTTCGATCCCCGACCGCGTCATACCAAACGACGTTAAAATATGGTACTTGTTGGTCCCTGCCTGGCGCTCGGCATTAATGGGTACAACAAGGACTGGTCGGCTCGAAGTCAGTATAATGTGTTGAGTGGGGTATTCATGCTTCACTGCGGCATGGTATCTCAGTTTGCTAGCACTATAAAACCAGCTTCAGTCTGGGCTAGTACAAGCAGCCGCACATACACATACACACGCATGCACGTCGTCATATGAGCGAAATATTCTCAAGCACGACGTTAAAACCCAATTTCACCTCACCTCACCTCACCTCACCTCACCTAGAGAACAGGGCAGTGGCATAAAGTATGGAGTGGGGTCAATATAATCTGACACGTGTAAGAGGGCATGACGTTTGTTTATATTATCTCCCCTTCTTAAAGGTCGAGTAGAAGAAGTCGAGTTTCACGCGCTGGGGAAATATATAAGCAGGAATTCATCTGAGAACCGGCTCCTTTCTCATGTGTTTGAAAACACGCTGTGGATTACCTTCATGGTCTAAGCACTGTTTCGTCTATATCATCTCGAGGTCCACGAGCCTATACAAACACGGCCTCGCGTGATACCACTCGGCTCTCCATTATCTCGCTATTTACATTATGACGAGAAGCAGACAGCCAGATTCTCATGTATTGTACCACCGGATCATGTAGATTTGGCTGAGAACACGACTCGTGGTGGTTGTATTACACCCGTGCCGTCAGACGTGACACCGTCTCTTGACCTCACCTTCACTAGAAGTGGAAGGGGCGGAATGTATTCCGATAGACGAAGAGGAACGCTGATACACAGACGAAGGAGCCATGGTGTTCTTTGATAGCGACCACTTGCAATTCACGGGAATGTCTCCCGATGAGACGAGGTAGATAGCGAAGGTTTCAACCTATTAATTCAGTTATTTTTCCACGGAGCCCTCACAGCATTTGAAGGCGTGGTTCAAGATTTGGCAACCTCTTCTACCCCACACTTGCACTCGAGACACTGTAGGGAGATTCGCCTGCCAGAAACTCCTCGCAGCGACGGTTCAGTGCAAGCAGGACAAATGTTACGGCCATCTGGAACTCCAGACAGTGTTTCCGAGGTCCCAGCTGCTCCGAGTCTAGCTGTATGTTCTAAGGGACATGATTGCACTAGCATTGAAGACCTATTTGGTAGAAAAGCTATTTACTTGTACATCACCCCAGCACAAATTACCTTACATAAATGGAACGTTTTATGGTGATTTATTCAACAGACGTAGGGGACTTCCATATTATATATTATATGACTTAATATCTCATTTAATGTGCATTTCTACCTACGTGATCAAATGTAGGTTTGTATATGAATATCTGAAATGATCTGAGTGCTTTGTCGTCCAATTTTCTAGACAGTGTACATTACAATACATTGTATATCCAGATAGATATATGTGCCATGAAGTACAGACAAATCTAAAAGGAAAAAAATGTTTATAAAACCCTTTTTAATTCAATTTTCTAACAATGTCAGTGGATGGTAAAGTCAAGTGTGGTAAAAGGGTTCAGGTTGTAATCTAAAGTGTCCTGTATATTTCAGAAGCAATCATTATGTACACTTAGTCCATGAATACGCGATAAAGGAAAAACTATTCTCCTTATTTCAAGAGCCATTCGTCTTAGGTGTCGCAGTTCGCTCTGCAGAGTTGCGCCCCTGGGGCATGCGAGAACTCGATAGATGGGTTCGAATCTTGGTCCGCCCCGATTAAGTTTTTTTGGTTTGACAGAACCACACCCCGTGGGTTTCATCAAAGTGGTCAATGTCTGAGATGTTTTGGGCTTCCTAATGAGACGCCGTGATGTGACTGGAATATTGTTCAAAGCGGCGTCACACCTCACTCACTCACTCACTCACAAGTTAACGGTGTTCCTGTGTTTCAACACCCTTGAAGACCCGGGTATAATTGACTTAAAGCAACCGATTCTTGCCGTAATAGGCGACTAACGGGAAGGGGCGGCCAGGCTCGCTGACTTGGTTGACACACGTCATCATATCCCAATTGCGTTGATCGATGCTCATGCTGTTGATCACTGGATTGTCTGGTCCAGACTCCATTATTTACAGACCGCCGGCATATAGCTGTAATATTGCTGAGTGCGGCGTTAACCAATAAACAAACCAACAAAGATGTAACCAAAATAATGTCTTTTACCTTTTTGAAAATGTGGTTCCTTGTATTTCAGTTCCGAGTGTCCCCGTGCCCTGCCCCTTCCAGGGCCCCTACTCATTCTCCTACAACAACCAAACCAATAGGGACTGCGACAGCCCTTCTTCGGAAATCCAAGAATGCGCAGACAGTTCAAAGTTCATCTTCAAGTATAAGCGGTGCCAGCATACCCCGGAAACCCGCGATCAAGGTACGTGAAAGCTTATCAGCCAGACCGAACAATAGGTCCTATTACGTGAACACACAGTTCAAGCAGTGGTTTTAGAAGCATAGTACACACACACATGATCACACTTGAGTCTAATCACGTTGACCTTTCGCGGCCGATGCGACGGGGCCATTTTATTTAAAGCACTACGACTCCCCGCTGGGAGGAATTGTTGTACTGGGTGAAACTCGCAAGAGAAACTGAGATAAAACGCATTTCCTCATCATTGGCTTCTTAGTAAACTTTAATGGACACAATACCATTGGCGTGGGAACAGAGCTTGAATGTATGGGCGACATTTATGGCCGACAGCATACCTAATAATGATCACGCGGGCCTGGCGGCGCTTAATCGTAGTCTTATAGTCTGCTTTCAGGGGATAGTTGCGCCAATCTAGCTTAACCATGCATAAATACCGGCTACACACCGCTTTGATGCAACCTGGCCAATACTGAGAATACACATTCGCTACCACGTCAAATATTGACAAACTGGATTCCTATTTGCTGGCATAAATAGGGGAGGTAACTCTGACTTTATACATATAATCTTGAATATACACTAAACACTGGTCCACTTTGGAGATTTATAAAAGTAATATTCTTCAAAAGTAACTGCCATATAGACTAAGACCATTAATGCATAAAGGATAACTAGAATCATATAAACAATTATTTATTGAACGCACGTGGTCTTCGTGCAAAGTTTATCCGGTAAATGAATCTTAATTAAATTAATTCTTTCTGTGAGCAACGATACAGCCTACGAATTATGTACCGACTTAAGAATACTGATAAGACTCACACTTAATATCTCTGAATATATATAATTGTGATAGAAACAAATGTCCTTTTAAACTGAAAAGGAGCCCCAGGGAGACCAGAGATTCAGAACCTGGGGAAATCTAGCCTTGCTTCATTTAGGGCTTTAGCATTGCAGAAAGGGCTGGATGGAAGGGAAAATAATGCGGTTTAGAGACTGTGGCATTGTCATGTACAGAGTTATGTCCCTTAGCTTAGTCATGATCCACTGATCATGTTGTCGAACCTGAGAGATCCACGAAAGCTCTTGAATTCTATACTTTCCTTGAAATTCAGTTGACATGTAACGCCTGTAAAAAAGTAACACCAAATGCGGGTTTTATACCAACCCACTTAATCACACATACCAATCCATGCTTTCACCAATACAAAAGATGGAAATTTAATATAAAAACTCAATCAATAACAAACGTATAAAAATATGTATTCAGATTGATGAATAAAACAACACCTATCAGCTAGGTCCTATTACAAAATATGTTTTTCAGGAACAGAGACTATTACGTTTACGAGAGCGCAGAATATCTCACATTCTACTGCTAACAGTCGAGTTCCCCTCTTTAACTCACTGCAATATGTTACCGAGTGATAACAGAGCCTGGTTAGGCGACCTGGCACCATTTGGAATCAGTATTACAATAGGCTCTCTGTGTATTCTCAGGTAATAGAATCTCAAAATGCCAGCTCAATACATCACAGATGCCCAATACCGTGGCAAATGTTGCTTTCGCTTTGTATTGCCACAGCTTTAAATCTTCCGTACTGTCAAAAATCTAATAATCGTTTATAAAGGAGGTTAGTTTATGGAATGACTCACAATAGACTAAATTCTGGGAAATATCTGAAAAGAATATGCTGTTTCATCATTGTATAAAAGAATATGCATAGAATGCATTACTTTTATAATATAATTCAGGAAGGTTTTTTTGTTTCAATCAATATTGTCATGTTTTGAATAGACAATGTATTGATTGTAAAATAAGAAAGTACAATTTGTCATTTTACTAAACCAACAAGTCTAGATGTCTGGATAATGGATGAGTACCGTGATTGAGCAATATACTCATGCCAATAATGGTTGTCACCCCCTCCACACCCCAACCCACACCCCTCTTCAATTAAAAAAATTGAAGGGGGGTGACAACCATTATTGGCATGACTATATAAGATAATTATCGACCGTGTTATCAATTTTAGACGGAGTTTCTTTGTGTTTTGTTGTTTCAAGTCGCTCAGCAATATTCCAGATATATGACGGTGATCATCAAATAGTCAAATCTGGACCAGAAAATCCGGTGATCATCGATCAGTGCAGTTAGGACATGCATCAATCAAATCACTGACCACCCAGGTCGCCTCTGAGGACCGCAGTAGGTTGCTGTAGACCAATTCTGACCCGAATTCTTCACAAAATGTGGAGTGTTTGTCTTGCAATGTATCTATTTAGGAAATTAAGAGTTGTTGTAAAACGGTTACCAAATGATGATATGAACACGCTTGGTATTTCAGACATGCAGTTCCAGTGCCTCGCGACATGGTTCAACGGCGATTTCTTTCTGTATGGAATGTTTACCGGTTCTGGCTTAACGGAACAGACACAGATGTACCGTTGCTTTGTAAGTATTCTTCCGAAGCATTCCTCTCCACAAATTAGAAATACTTTGTGTAATTGGTGCGGCGATCTTCTCCCGTGCAGCACGTGCTCGGCATCATTCATGTCGGTTGCTCAACCCGAGCAGACGACACCCTGGTTCTCCTGTTGAACGTTCGTTGTTGGTGCAGACATCGTTCTGAGGTTTAATCTCAGGAGTTTTAAGAAACATTCCATTACTTTGTGGCGGTGCCTAATCGTATAAGAGATTTACATTCCATATGTAAAGTTTACCTTGCCTGCTGGTGGGATCTGGCCGCGAGCTGCCGCCATTCCCTCAGGGAGCCATCCCGACTTATCCAGTTAGAAGGTCTTTGATAGTTGTGTAATGCCTTCATCCAATTTCCCTTTCAATTAGCACCACTTGCCGTTCTCAGAATCGCCCCGTGCGGAGGGAAAGAGTGCAGCATGGTCTAGAGTCGTTACTGTATTACTTTTACCAGTCAGTGTTACTCGTTCATTCAGAAAATAAGACGTGTTCCACGGCTGTGCCCGTTGTTGATTGGGGACGAAAAAACCGCACTCCTTAATTCCGCGTTGCTCGACCACCGACCTCGTACTGTCGAGCTCATCGATTTGTTCTGCCTGGCTTTGAGAAGTTGTCCTGAAGAGATTTCCTTCCAACTCAATTGTATTCATATCCTATGTAGATTTTTTCCTTCGTATATTCTTCCTCCATTCGACGGGTCCGAGTGTGTTGTAGAACCGGAGCTTGGTTTATAGAGATGCGGATCTAATAACAAACTATGCTGAGGTCATCCAGCCTCCCCAGACCTCTACGTGGGATAACAACTCCGGCTCATAACGTCATCAAACTCATGCTTACACGAAAAACATATCTTGAAATTCCTATTGGAGGTTTTGTAGAAGGAGCTGAAGCGTATATGAGCCGTATCATACTTGTAGCAGGAATTCCGGGCACGACCCTCTCTGTTGCAGGATTTCTTGTCTTCATTGCATCTAAAAAAGATGTTGTCTTAGTTGTCATGGTGACCGAGAATATCACGTACATCCACATTTCCTAACGGCAGCCTCGAGCGTTGTGAAAATACTCGGGTTCAATATTACAGAGTCATGAATAATTGCGATGAATGAATGCTTACTGGAATAATTCAGCAAAAAGAAGTATTAAAAAAAATGTATAAATCTATAAATAAATGAAAAAATCCGAATTCTATTTTTACGTAGTTGGACATAAATATCTAAAAAGCAATTGTGTTTGTTTTAATGCTGGTTTTAAAGAAATGCTAAAATTTACTGTCAAGTGATTTTTCAACGCGTTTTTCTTCTGCCGCAGATGTACAGTTTCTATGGGTCACAGGGTCAAATGGCGATGTCGGCCGACCCCACCTGTCAGGGAATACAGAGCCCAAGGACAGGCTATCTGACCATGTCTCTGTCCCGTGAGTATCTCTCTCTCTCTCTCTCCCCCAACACCACCACACACACACACACACACACACGCGCGCACACATACTCAAACACAATTGCCAAGGAAGAAAAGCAATGATTTCTATCACCCAAAATACAGTATATACAAATTCCGGAAAAAAAACATCGATAACCCGCAGCTTGTATATGTTGTAAACTGCTGTATAAACATTGATGCAAGTCGTGTATATCTAAGTCTCTAGAAAGAATACACAAAGGATATTTATCTTGGTAAATCACCATCTTTTGTCTTGTGTAAGGAACCGAACGTTTACAATTCAGGAACGGGGTAAAACCTGATGCATTTTTCTGAAAACGTTAAGCATTTTAAAAACAACCTTCCTTCAGACATTTTTAATTGCTCGCCCCCACATCTATTTTCGTATATCACAGAAATGAATAAAATTAATTCACATGTGTGCCACTCAGAGGAATTCAAGAACTTTCCCATTCTTTCATATTTATTAAGATGATCTGTCGTGGTAGATGTCCTATAACATTGTCATTACAAAAAATGGCATTGTGTATTCATAGATTGAGGGCAGTAATTGAAAGAATTGGGTTTTCTTTAATTTCGTTTGAGTAGGATACACACGTGTAATTTCCTTCACCAATGTTTTATGTTACCCAAATACTACCAAAGCCATGAATTTCTTATACTAACCCAGGAACTCATTCATTCTTACCAGGTGCTGTTAAATGGACACCACCCTCCTGTTCTTATAACGAGTTTCTGTCGGGACCCCGGGAATGGCGGGATATTGCCGGCAAATTCCGGTTTGTTCTGGACGAAGATATTGAGCAGTTCCGTATCTTCAGTGTCGGTACACGAAGAGGTGACAATTCGGCGCTGGTGTCGGTGAGATGTATGGGGGTCGTGGAGGAAATACCTGACATCAGTGACAACACGGCAACGTGGCCAAGCCAGACGTACAGCAAGGATTTTATTACCTACACTACAAATGATTCATGGTATGTGGTCATATTTCAGTCCCGTCTCAACACAAACATCGTGTTACTTGTCAACAATTTTTGGAATCTATAAGAAAATTGTACGTTTTTGCTCTTACGGAAAGTAAAGTTTGGCTCCATGGACAAAAATAATATTTTCTCAGAATGACTAAGCTACAAGTATTTTTTCCGAAAATAGAAAAAGATATTTTAACACAGCTGTTGTTTTCCATAGAAACAGTGCGTTTGTGTAACTGTAATCATTAGCGAAGGGTAGCCGAGTGGTAACGGTGTTCGTTCTGTCTGACGAATGCAGGTGTTCTTTTCCCGGTCTAAAGCCGTTTATTGGGTTGACAGCATTAGATTGTTAGATTTTGCTGAAAGTGGTGTAATAATATCCATTCTCTCCTTTGTCCACAATTATTGTATCTAATAGTCAATGATAATAAGATGGCATAGTTGCGTCCCCTGGGCGGACCGGAAACCTGTTATCGTGGGTCTGAATTCCGGTTCGACCCCATCTTGTTTCTTTGATAGTGAGTACCATACTCGTCTTCGTGGGATTTAACAAAGTTTGTAAACCCCGGATACCAGCATCTTTTCGGGCTTTCCGTCTACAGTTAGCTGACAAGCCTCAATATATAACTGGAATAAAGCGTTGAAGGGAGTGTGGTGTAGCCTAGTGGTTAAAGTGTTCGCTCGTCACGCATATCCGGGTTCGATTCCCCATATGAGTACAATGTGTAAAGCCCATTTCATTTCATGTCCCCCCGCCGTGATATTGCTAAAAGCGGCATAAAACTCAACTCAGTCAGTAACTCAAAGCGTTACACAAACGTCACCATTTTAAATATAGATTCATCGTATTCATTGTTACCAACAGCAAACCAACTGCTTACATTTTATTTGATCTTTGAACAATTCAGCTAAATGCAAAAGCGGCATATCGTTTTGATGAAGCACCAGACTGCCATTAGATCCACTAGAGAATCAGCCATCAAATCTATAGAAGAATTTTTTCATACACTGGATGCTGACACATGCTTTGACTGGCATCCTTAAGTGACATGATGCTTTGATTCATCTTTGTGTTTAAGTGCAGTGTTTTTAAGTCGATGATCTGTTAGAATACAATGAAACAATATTAATCCAAACAAGAGACACTGGATCTCGGACAAAAGGTTAAATGTCAGGATCTCTTTCATCTATGCAAGTACCAGCAGCGGATGTCTTTTAGGAATAACATGGAAAAGCACCGGTTCCTCTTCCTGTAATCCTTTCCTGGTTTACCACACCTGCTGCCCTTCTCGGAACATTCGTCATAGTTACTTAGAATAGCAAAAACTAATTGTCTGCGAGGACAATTCTATAATTGATCCTTCCTTTGAATGAAGTCACCAGCAATATTTTCCTTGACTAATCCTGGCTCCAAGCACCCGAGGCTTGCACCTCTTGCCTTGTGTAGATGCTGTTGGGTTTCAATTGGGCAGGGTGAGGGAGACCGATTGGTTTGGTTGTTGCCAGTCAATACGAGACGGCCGTGCCGGCAAGGTATTGATACAAGTTAGAATAGCTGGCCCAGTCAACAAATGTGTCTTGGCTTTGACCTGTTTCATCCCCTTGGATCACAATGGTTAAATATTTAGTAGTGAAACGTGGCCATGTCCATCTTCAAGGAGACGGCCGTCAACATGGGGTTGGGCAAGGCGGCTTGGCTAGCAGCGTCTTAAATGTCGCTCTGACAAAAAAGTACTTAATTTACTTTATAGTGCTGGCAAGCGTTGCTGACCCAAGTGGGTTAAATTATTTAGTTGTTTTCACGCCAGTGTTCTTCAAGACCAGACGGGTTACGAATGGAGAGAACTCTGCAAGTGTCCCAGACTCTTAGAGTGAATTGGGCATGGATATTGGTGACAAAGTGACGAGGAATTATTCCTTCGTTCCCTTGGAGCCTTCACTCTTGAGCCGAATTCGGCTCCAAGAGACCAAGAAGCGACCATGGATGTAACACTTGTGAAACGAGGGATGAGGGCTGTAACTATAGCAACCAACTTCATCTGTCCTCCCATCTTACCAACATCGTGTACAACATGTATTGGTAGTTGTACTGGCAATGTTTGTTTGTTGTGTAGCGCCGTGCTCAGATATAGCCTACTATTTATCGACCATGCAGACCAGACAATCCTTGCGATAACGTACCCCGTTGTTTGATGCCGTTTGAGATATACTGCCACTTGCGAATTTATAATTGAATCACCATGGACAAATGTAACAAGTTTTAACTGATTTTGTTTTATTTGAGTCGTGAAAGACATGTTTCCTACTTTATCCTTCCCACGCAGGTCGGTTATAGGTTCATCTCCCTTACCTAAATAGTCATGTTTACTTGCTTCCGTACGTTACGCACACAACGTAAGTTCGCCTCCACACATTATGTACGAAGTGTGCGACACCTAAAATTTCACCTACGTACGTTTCTTAAAACCAGTACGATACACTTGTCCACCTCCGTACGCAACTGACATCCTCTGATATATACCTAAGTACGGTAGTCACAACTTACGCGATACCCGTACCCACCTACTTACGCAACACAAACACTCTACGGTGCTCGTGTTCAACATTGGACACAATTCATTCCTCAAGCGCCATTATAAAGACTGAACAGTAAAATCGACTCTGATTTAAGCAGGGATTTCTAATGAATATGGAAAAGGTCCGTGTTGATTTTATTTAAATATGCCAAACAAATTAACAGGTAGTTTTTAGGCGCGTTGAAAATCAGATTTCCAGATTATTTGCACCTCAAAGTGTAGAGCGGACAGTTAATCTACACATGCTCCCATACTGACTCCATCGATACTGACTTGAAAACTTCGTTGTCTGGTCCCTGTCTAATGTATCAGTATAATCATCACATACTTGTTGGGGTGGGTGGATCCTTACGTGGTTGTTACAACAGTGTAATCATCTCCTCCTTATCATCTTGTATTCCCCTTTATCATCATATAATCCACCTTATGATCCTATAGTCCTCCCGATGACCCTGTACTCTTTCTAATTATCCTGTACTCTTCCTTATCATCCTATAGTTCTCCTTATCATCTTATACTCCCCCTTATCATCCTATACTCCCCCTTATCATCCTATACTCCCCTTGTCATCATATACTCTTTATCATCCTATACTCCCCCTTATCATCTTATACTCCTCCTTATCATCTTATGACCCTTCTTATGATCCTATAATCCTCCTTATCATCCTCCTTATCATCCTATAGTTCTCTTTATCATCCTGTAATCTTCATCATCATCCTGAAGTCCACCTTATTATAATATTGTCCCCTTATCATCCTATACTCCTCCTTATCGAGGGCATGCTTCCTGTTTTTGAGGTTACCACAATTCTCAGTTCCTTTATCCAAGACATTTCGGTGAGAATGTACCTATCCGTGGGATATCTCCGTCAACTAAGAGACACTTCAGAAGACTCTGTGTTACCAATGGAGCTTGGCACATAGCCAGAAGGTGGTCCGTAGCTTGCAGTTTCAATAACATTTACTTAAGGATTTTGTAAAAATCAATACCAATAAAAACCACACCGACTGTGTATCTTTTCCTTTCCTTAGGGCTTCAGTGTAGTTCAGTGGTGCCCATTGCAGGCACTATGAGTTTGGGGCCATTTGATTTTCAATCTCCTGATGTCTGGTGTTTTTCTCCCGTTTCAGCGTGTCCAGGTACCAGTGTTTGAGGCTGAAGAAGAGGGGGCCGGCAGTGGTGGAACTGATGCTCGGTGAGTGGTCAATTACATTACGTCAGTGGGTCTGTCAACGTCTGACAAACTTCCACTGGTGATGGTGCGCGTATACGTTCACTATGAACACAGATCAATTTACAATGTTTAAACTGCAGAGGAAAGTTTCCGAAACTTTTTTTTAGATAAGTATATCTCGATAATGTATGGCGGTTTGAGATGGAGAGCGTCTTGCCACGTACAGGAGTACTCTAACTGTCGTATTAGACGTTGTTAAACGCTGACGTGACGTCAAATGAAATCCTATTAGCTTTCTGTTTATTAGAGAATTCAAAGTCGACCAACTGCAATACCATTTGTTTAATTGTTTTCTTTCTCCGTTAAGTTAAGAAACGGTGTGATTGGAAGAAAGCTTTTGTGCATTGGTAAGATGGTATTGTTTACTGAATATAATAATACCAATAATAATAGTGATAATAATCCGTTTTAAGGCACGCCCGTGAATGACCAGGATCGAGCATGTAACGAATGGAGCTTCGACAACGTCCACAAATATGTGATACTTCGTAAGTATGGAATTAAGTGGTACCATTCTGTGATAGACGTGTGCTTTTGTATTGTAAATACCCTGTGCTAGATAAGATGAAAGCCTGTACAGAAATGCATGTCTGGTTGCACAAGTGTCATGCTTCTAAAGTGTTAAATGAATCCTGTAGTAATAGATGCACGGTCCAAATTGCAAAGTAGTCGAACACCCTTTGTCGAACCCTGATATGTCGAATGTGCGGTTGTCGCGAAGTAACATTTTGGTTCCTACGTATTAAGTCATTTTCGGTCGTGTCGAACATTGGATAACTCGAAGTATTAACGTAGGTCCCTTCAAATCCAACACGAAAGTGTTTGACAGTAGGTCGTGATTCTTAAGAATCATATCAAGTGATCCCAAAAGGTGATGGACGCACGTTTGCGATGACAAATACGTCACACCACGTGACTACACCACGTGACAACTATAATTTCGACTTGTGATAGATGTATGCAGCATGTACGTGTAGAAAGCCCTATTGTGACAGACATTTAACCCTTGCCGTTGTGAGCAATCGAGAATGGTAACCTGAAATATCCGAGATCCTTGCATCTGATAGACCAGTGTGTGCGAGTTGCATCTGCTACATGCATGCCCTATCGTAGTCGTCGAGAAGTTTCCGACTCCGCTGACAGATCGCCACAGTTGCTGCCGGCGATATCCTTCGACCATCCAGCCTTGATTACCATTCGATACACAGCTCGTTTCTTAGATGTTACTCCGTGACGTTCATGTCGATGCTGGCTACAATTAAACCACTGTTATGTCAGATTAAGTCTGCTCTGACATTACAGCACGTGTTTTAAATATCGACAATAGGGTTATCAGGGGTTTTCCCGGTTCATTTATATCAGTATCACTTATCTCAAAACGTGCCTTTCATGAGTCGTTAGTCTGTGCCTGGACACCGGAACTAGCCGCCATGTTGCCGAGAGAAGCCACGCAGACTGCAAAGGCAGGTCGAAACAAAAGCGTCTTTCAGCTGCCCCCTTGATGAATTTGACATGTGTGTTCAAAAAGGAAACGGTTTTTCTCTAACTTGTGTGGTTCCAGAGGCAAAATCTAGCTTTGTACAAGCAGATCAATACAGCATCTCGTCCTCTAGAGCACCACTGGGAGGACAATTGTTCCTTCGCACGTGCGATGCGTGCCCGTTTGCGCTAATCCCTTCAACGTTTTTAAGATTTCTCTCTGCGATAGCGTAAGTCTTCCCCACTGTAAAACAAGTCGGGATCTCGCCCAGATGTAATCATTCTATCAAATATTGATCAGCCAGTGATTAAAGGTAGGCCGCGAGACTGAAGTAGAGACTGTCTTTATAGCGGGTCGCCGTGTGCGCACTTCCTTGATTGAAACGCGGAGCTAGATGTTGAAGTAGCGAGCTAAAGTAATTGTTTCAAGCAGTAATAAGTCATCAAGCCGTTACATTACAACATGGTCGAGCGCAGGGAACGGTGGGCACCTCCGCATTTAGGTCAGCACTCAGGAACGATATTTCCATCAGCTCTGAAACGACGGTGGAACAAATCTGTTTCTAATCATTAGGCCCATTTCATTTGGAATACGAGTTTGCAAAACATGCTTTCAACATACTCAAATAATGGGAACAGCGTGACGCCGTGTCTCTGTGTGCTCGTTGTGGTGTAAAGAAAGGCCCAAGGCCGTAACTAAGTCTGTTTTTGTGTCCGTAACAGCCAGGGGGAAAATGGACAATGTCCAATGGACAATGTCCATTGAGGTTACAGGAAGCTCGTGCCTTTCGTGCATCAGCGGATGTGAACTGAGGCATTCGCTTCAAGCCATTGGTTTGACAAAGTCTATGCCGTGTGCTGGCAAGTGTTTATCATTGGCCCGACAACGTGAATTGATGTTCTTGTTATCAACCACTGGTTTGACAAACTATGCGATGCGTGCTGGCAGAGGGTTATCATCGTGGCCTGATGACGTATATCAATGTTCTTGCACACGTTTTAAAAACTAGTTAGTTAATCATTATACCCCGACAATGTGATTTAGTGTTCTTCTTATCAACCATCGGTTTGGAAAACACACAGGTGTTAACAAAACTAGTTAACCACCGTACTCAGCGTATCAACCATTGATGTGGAATATCTCGACAGGATCCTCCCAGAGCAAGTTCCAGAGAGACGTGAATCAATGTTAACTCTTGGTGTGTCTGTACCAGGTTCGATCCCACATTTCAGGCCTCCAACGACTACGTCAATTATCATTGCGATCCACTATGTGTCGAGAGATATATGTGTAACCAAATGTTCTTGAACTCCACAGCCATGGAATCGCGAGTTGTGCCATGTCCACTTCCTGGCAGTTATTCCTACGTGGACAAGATGTCCAACTGTCGAGGAGAGATCGAGATAGGATGCTCGGACTCAACGATAATGGCCATCAAGGCTTCCTGTCCATCTGGACATCATACAGGTGAGTTGATAAATATCACGATAACATATGGACTGACCAGTAACTCTGTGTGTTTGAAAAAAACGGAATATTTTATTATCAATGCTTCAATAAACACAAATAACATTTCCATAAGCAGAATATATGTACTCTACAGTCCATAGTCCAACAGTATCATAAATATGTGTTTATGAATTAATATCAAATATTGATGACAGCTGGTGTTTTCGCTATCCTGCCCAACAGTGGCACAGGTCAAAAACACATGCAACGGCAAGTCAATTGTTCACCTTAAAACATGGCAATGGTTGTTTTGGTAAAGGGGAAATTTATCGGACACCATTTTTGTCACTGATGCGTCAAGTTTACAAATATTCTCACATACCTACTTTAAAACATTTTGAAAGTTTTCCTCAGGCCTTTAATGTTGTGACGATCTTTGACAACTTCGTAGAGGGAACACGCTCGAGTGTAACTCAAAAGTTGTAAACACCAAAACATTCAGTTATTATCTCTTAAAAGAAAAGCCGAACCAGACACCAGTAATTTGAGTGAACCTTTTTTAAACATTTACAAATGTTTTTAAAGTCTTTCCTGTAACAAATCATGCGTTCCTTATTTGTAAATTGCTCGTATGTAAAAAATGAGAATCAGAAAATGTTTTGAAGACAAGGCCCTTCCAATGCAAACACCTCACGGTCATGGGCTTGCCATGTAAATGTGATGCATTGGAACCAGAAGTTGGACTTTCTTTGTGCGTTCATAAATCTTGAAATGTAGCAATCATATAGCCATTATTCAAGCTAGTAGACTGTTATGGTTGTGCATTGAGGTAATGAAGATACCATCCTAGACAATCTGGGCTCTGTGATAGGGTACGTTAGTGCAAAACAGTGATTTGTTTTATTAAAGGCATCTGTTGGAATTAGATTAAGTCGAAAACAACTACCCTTCTTTCATGTTTAAGCCTCCATGGGCATTATAAGCATTAGTGCAAACGCACTATTTTACCATGTTTTACAGAAGAACAAATAGAGTGTTTCATAAACGATGATTAGTCGTTTTCATCGTCAGTTAGATGTAATTGATTTTAGATTTTTTATGTTCAAAACCGTCTTGTTTTATGATGTACGGAATCACGGTTGTTTGGGTTTTTTTCTGTTCCAAATAGTTTTTGAAAGGTTATTAAGTCAGGAGTGAGTAAAGAAAGTTCCAATCTCATTCCATACACTGGAGCTTTGGCAGTGATGCAATAGTGCAATGGAAACAATTTGTCAGAAACGCTACTTTATTTGTAAACAATTCGCTTAGCATGAAACATTTCTATGAAAGAGTTTTGCAAATTCCCAAGGAATTAATTAACTTGACATATTCAGCGCTGAATTCTCCACTCTGGGATCTTTTCGTCCTGTTTTAGTTAACAAGAACTATTTTTTGGAGTAAGGCTAATTTCCTCGAGATTAACTGTCATGTACTGTTATGTTCGCTATTGGTCGACAGGCCGCGTTGCCAATATAACAGGCTATTTAGCAATCAACGTAAGAAAATCCTCAACGCAATTTGTGGTATTTTGGGGAGGATCTGAAACCAAGATCAATCAAAATTCAAATGTTTTTCCTTAAATTTTCATTGTGTCACAATGGAATTCAATTGGAATTTACTTCTATGTGTTGAAGTATTTTTTCTCGGTGTGATTGTCACAATCAATGGAGTAGAAGCTGTACAAATATTTTCATAGAAGATTTTTGTGGGAATGGAATCACTTTTCACACGACAGTTCGCGTGACCAATCTGCATTTTGCATGTATTTATAAAGCATCTCTCAATTATACATTTATGAGCGTGTCTTGCGTTACAGAGTGGAAACTTAAATATTGTATACTGTCACCATGGAGACAGTAATGCGAATAGGTGTAGAGACTACCATACTTTATAGGCATACTTGAGGTTCTTTTCACAGTATTCTTTGAAACTGTTTGGAATATCAGTTGTTTTAGTACAAACATATACCCCTTTCCCCGTTTTTATTATTATCAGTAGTACTAGTAGTACTAGTAGTAGTATTAGTAGTTTTAGTAGTTGTAGTAGTAGTAGTAGTAGTAGTAGTGGTGGTGGTGGTGGTGGTGGTGGTAGTAGTACTAGTAGTAGTGAGTGAGTGAGTGAGTGAGTTTGGTTTTAAGCCGCACTCAGCAATATTCCAGTCAAATGGCGGCGGTCTGTAAATAATCAAATCTGGACCCGACAATCCAGTGATCAACAGTATGAGCATCGATCTGCGCAATTGGGAACCGATGACATGTGTCAACCACCAAGTCAGCGAGCCTGACCACCCGATCCCGTAGTAGTAGTAGTAGTAGTAGTAACCCATGAAGGTCCGGTTTAGAATTTGTCTTCAGCAACCCATGCTTGTTGTAATAGACGACTTACGGCATTGGGTGGTCAGACTCGCTGACTTGGTTGACACATGACGTTGTATCCCAATTGTGTAGATGTTGATCACTGGATTGTGTAATCGCTTAGTGAGGCGTTAAACTACAACATGTAGTTGTAGTAGTAGTTGTTGTTGCATCATTATTGATAGTATCAGTATCATCAACATCATCATCGTCATCATCATCATTATCATCATTTTATTATTATTCCAGTGGAGCTCTTCCAGTGCAACCAGAACTGGACGGAACATCCCACGGGTGCCCAGTACATTATAACCAGCAAGCCGGGCGACACTGTCCAGAAGGTGTCCGACTGTCTGGTACGTCTTTGTCACCACCTTCTACTTCATTGTCTGTGGTAACATTTCACATTCTGATAAAGATAAACTCCTTTTTCAACACGGATCCACCCGGCGTGCCAAGGAGATAAGGGAGATAACTCAACAACACGCATACCGCTATAAAATACATCATTACGATTTCATTTAACAGCGAAAGATAAGACATGTTTCCAAATGAATTGAAAAAGTGACAGATTATCTGCATTTGGCAAAATGAACAATTAGAAGGGTAGAATTCTCTATATCGGATTAGATAGTAGAAACAGCTAACATATGTTTGTCGTTAGGTGAAAAAGAGAGGTATCATAACGTTGTTGGTTGTTGTAGATGATTTTTTTAAAAACCACCAATTTAAACTTTGATTGCTTGATTTATTCAGTAAATGTTGATTGATAAAGACAATAAACAAAATATTCGCTTATACACATGTAATCCCTACTGTTTCATTGCTGGATTTATTGTTGCGTGGAAGACTTTAATTATAAGCAAACGTCATCGAGAATGACATCTTGAAAAGGGACTGCCAATTAGTAAGTTCTTCTAGCCTAACACTGATAAATACTCACAGATAGTATGGTGACATATGGGTGTATGGTTAGGCAGTGTCTGCGAACAAGGGTGACAGTGAGGCCAAGCATCTGTATAATGGGGAATAATACTGCTCTGTGGAAGTGTTCACCAGGGCCTTCTAGATAAGGAGTCGTATCCCTGTAATCGATGAGAAGAGGGTGTATTCAAGGTTACTTTTGAAAAACCTCGTCTGTTCCCAAGAATGTTAAAAACACCATACGCTTTTTCGAAAAGTGTCTGTATAATTCAGGAAAATTTGAAAAACATTGAAATTGCTGAGAAAGTTGCAACATTCGTGCACATAAATGAGAGTAAGGTTGCTGTTCTTGTTTCAATTCTTGTATGTTTTTACATCTAATCATCCTTCATGTATAGGTCGAGTTAAGGCTTGTCGCAAGGCATATTCAAAGTACATTCAAGAAGCTTTTAAAGCAGGTGTTATATTTTATGTATTATGATGTTCCGCGGTGAATTAGTACAAAGATGTGGTAAAATAATATCATAGATCTGGGTTTTGTTAAAAAAAATAGTTCTTGGAGTTCGAAATATTGTCCTGTCCCACTCTTTAACCTGTGAAGATCCGGGTTAGAATTGATCTTCAGTAACCCATGCTTGTCGTAAGAGGCGACTAACGGGATCGGGTGGTTAGGCTCGCTGACTTGGTTGACACATGTCATCGTGTCCCAATTACGTAAAACGATGCTCATGCTGTTGATCACAGGATTGTCTGGTCCAGACTCGATTACTTACAGACCGCCGCCATATAGCTGGAATATTGCTGAGTGCGGCGTTAAACAACAAACAAACAAACAAACCCACTCCCTTAAGCTTTACTTTCAATTGAGATTTGTTTTGAAAAGGCAAACCCTCGTACCTCATCGTTATTTATGAAATCGGACGATTTCAGTTAGAATCACACCGTCCCCATTAGCTGTGAAGGTGTTGTAATGTGGCGGCTGCGCCGTCGGACGTAACCTTCCATAGGCAAACAGGTGTGGTACAGGTGTGCACGTCTTGTCTGCAGGTGTACAAGGAGAGCATAGACGGGTTCGAGCTGGTTGCGGAGGAGGAGTGTGGAGGGGGAAATCTTCGGATGATGAAGAAGCCAATCGGCGTCATTATACAGCCTTCTCGACGTGAGTTGTCAACTTATAACAATGACTTCACCATCCTCCAGTGAAATAGGTTCCTAAATATCCTTAAAATATTTTCCTGAACATCTGCCTGCTCATGTTTTCCTTTCCCAAATACATTGAAATAACTTCCTCTATAAACTTAAATTGATATCGTTAATATCTTCCCTAAATGCCCTTGTATTCTTTTCCTAATGCATTGAAATACCTTCCTCACTACCTGTAAACGTTATACCGTAAATATCTTCCCTAAATATATCGTATTCCTTTCCCAAATACTTTCAAATACCTTCCAAAATACCCTGAAACTAACACCGTGAATATCTTCTCTAAATATTCTTGTATTCCTTTCATAAATACATCAGAACAACTTCTTGAAATACACTTGAAAAGGCTGTACAAATACCCTCGTGAATACATTCTTAAATGACCCGGAAATACCTCCAGAAGTATCCTTGGAATGCCTGTTCCGAATAGAATTGTCATATCGTCCCAAAACATTCCTTTGGACGCCTTCCCAAATACACATTTAGGACTGTCCATAGATACCATTTGCATACATTCGCAAATACCTTTGGACAATTCCAAAATATCAAAGGAATACCTTTGTTCTAAATCAATCAAACATATGTCTGTCAAACACTGAATTGTCAAAGTTGACAAATACGTAAATACTTCGAGTTATCCGAAGTTCAGTACAACCGCAAAATACTGACTTAAGAAGGAAGACGCATATTCTGTCTCACAGTTCCTGAACCACATTATTTTCCCGTCCGCCCAACCTTTTCTGCAATGCAAAGAAGCACCTCTAGATTTCCTCAGATTCTGAATCTCTGGGCTCGCTGGGGCTCCTTTACAATCAAATTATATTCATTTGCTTCTATCAGATTTATATCTACATAGAGAATAAGCGTTATTCTAGAACTCGCAGGGACGAAGCTTTCACTTCGAGACATCCGTAATTTTGACACAAAAGTTCGACACAACAGTGTTTGGCTGTAACCTTCATATGCATCCTCCAAAATCCCATGGACAACAATACCTTTGAGAATAGTTCCCTCAATCCTCTCCTCCCATCCCCAGAAATGCCTAACCGGTGAAGATCCAGGTTAGAAATGATCTTCAGCAACCCATGCTTGCCAAGATGCGACTAACGGGATCAGGCGTTCAGGCTCGCTGACTTGGTTGACACATGTCATCGTATCCCAATTGCGTAGATTGATGCTCATGATCTTGATCGTGTCTTGTCCAGACTCGATTATTTACAGACCGCTGCGATATAACTGGAATATTGCTGATTGAGGCATTAAACAACCAAACCAACCAAACCTAGGAATACCCAACGACTGACTGTCTGAGTTTGGTTTTACGCCGCTTTTAGCAATATTCCAGCAACATCACGGCGGGGGACACCAGAAATGGGCTTCACACATTGTACCCATGTGGGGATTCGAACCCGGGTCTTCGACGTGACGAGACAACGCTTAAACCACTAGGCTACCCCACCGCCCCGAATACCCAACGAATGTGCATGAACCACAGTCAGTATTTGCCTTCCTAAATATAGGTATTATGGTGAATTCTATTAATAAATTGTTATTCTTATCTGCCCGTGATAACAGAAAGATATTGCTCTTATATGTTTAATTCATCACAACACGTTATAAACACCCAGTCAATTTGAAATCCCCAAAACATGTGCTATCGTTAATATCCAAATAGGTCACCGTGACCCGCTTTTATTGATTTCTGTTCTACTCTCTGTACCTGAGTCATCAGATTTGACAAATTCAACTTATGTAATCTAAATTTAGACACCAGTACGCTCGGGGCAGTCACGTGGTTCCGCGGGGTTTTGTTTGCAATTCGACCTGTTCCTAGTTAGGACCGGCAGTTGGTTTGCATTACAAGTAATTTCTCATTTTAGCTCATAGCTGAAGTTTGAAATATCCCTTGAAACAGGACTCCCAAGGATACTTAAATTCAGAAAGCAGAGGGATCAATTTATATTTCAATTAATTTGCATTAACAATGCTTGAGGGCAAATCTCGTGTATCGTTAGAATTGAAGTCTAGGCCATTAAGATATTCCATGAAGTGTGTGCTCGTGATTGTACTATAATTCAATCTCAGATGCAGACAAGCATTAGCAGTTGATATGCTCAGGTTGTTCTGACAAGGCAGCTGTTTAAAAGAATGTTTTAAAAAACGTTATTTTTGAAAATTCCTTTATCCCGTTGGGTCCTTAATAGGCCCATGTGGTTCATAACATCAACCACTCGTTTTTTAGCCCAGTCATATTATCCACTGGATGGGGGCGGTGGGGTAGCCTAGTGGTTAAAGCGTCCGTTCGTCACGCCGAAGACCCGGGTTCGATTCACATCTGGGTACAATGTGTGAAGCCCATTTGTGGTGTCCCTTGCCGCGATATTGCTTGAATATTGCTAAAAGCGGCGTTAAAACATATTCACTCACTCACTATCTACTGGATGATGTGATCATTATGGAATATTGCTGCGGCGTAAAATAACACCTGGCACGTGATTTCATTGATGATATTGAAAGAATTCAATGTAACGTCATTAAGAACTTCAGGAACAGACACACCAAGGGTTGATAGTGTGATACATGGTCCCCGGACATGGTTGACCAGCCAATCCACATTGAGAATTAGGTTTGAGGATACGTACATGTCAATCCATCTGGTATTCTGTATATCTAATACCATTGATGTTATCGTTTTTCAGAAGCCTGTAAAACTACAGACCGCCGGGTCCAACCCCAGCCAAGTACGAACCCTCACACCAGGGCTGAGGGAGAAGGCCACACCCATGACGTGAGAGGGGGTCGAGACAACAGAGGATATAGTGGCAATAACCATAATACTATCCCCAAGGTGGATAAGAAAGACATAACTATCATAAACACAGCCAACAGGCGGACCTGTTCTCAATGTATAGCCCTGCTCTGTGTGTTAGTGACACTGCTGTCATCGCTAAGGTGACATGACCGTCAAGTACCATGACATCATGACATCATGACATTGTGCTCAAGAGGCCCTCCAAGGCTCCTACCCGGGGTTCTGGCTGGGTGATCGTTGTCTGTTTCAACATTCCTATCGAGCGAACAGATATGTGATATTATCCTTTTTTATTCATGTCATAAAGAATTTACGTAACCGGGCACTGGCAATCCCACAACGAAAGGAGTGATTCCATATCTGGACGCTGCTCAAACGTTGCGCGACCTTCCATGGATCGAGGCGTGCTTTTGTGAAAGGCTACAAACTCTGTCCTGTTGGAATCACGACAAAATAGACACAAGTGCAGTCTGAAGCAACTACCCAAATGCTTTATGATGTGTGTGAGAAAGAAGTCTGCATTGGATTTCAATGAGCAAACATTCATTATGGCTAACGTCATAACGTCTTAAATAACGTCATAGTACTGACGTGGTTTCCAGTACTAAAGTACAGATGAGTATTTCTACGAGAATGAAAGTTGCTGTGTTGGGCGATCGCCATATTGGCTATAGTTATGTTTAAGAGGACCTTTGTGCAGAACTGTATCATAATATTACCCAGACAATAACTAGCCCAGGGGACTACCGAGCCAATCTTGGTGCGCATGCGCCGGGTGTAAATGACGTCACGTGTTTCCGCTTCTCATTCACCCCGCACGCGCATTCGGTTCATGGAAACTGTTTTCACAAATGGCAAGTTGGTGTTGAGTATTTCTTCGTTAAAGCTGTTTGTCCACGCAGAGGATTCGTTTTAGCACGCTGCTACAAAAAAACTGCATTCTATTCTGAGAGAAACGGTCATATTCCCAGACGATCCAAGTGCTCTTTCATCATCATCATCATCACCATCACCAAAATCATCCTCATCATCACCATCATCTTTATCATGACGTCGTTTCAAGATGACAGTTTCATTATGACGGCTATGTGCGAGCTGAGATCATATGATATGCGAGTTGAGATCATATGATATCGAGACTGTTTCGTGTTTGTCTTGCAGAGAAATAGTGTATAGATCTGGATATCACAGCTGTTCCCACAGTGTACGTGTTTCCAAAGACGTTGTTAATGGTTGAATATTTATTTGTTATAGTTACATGTATTTTTTTCAAAAGAGTATTCACAGTGATGGATACTAAAACACTTGCTATGTATACGAATGACTAACGAGATTCGGTGTTTTGAATGAATGGATATCAACTATTTTGCTATGTATACACTCAGCCAAATTAGGATTAACATACGAACATACAATCATTTGTTTCCTGCGCCGCGGCGCTATTTTCTTGTATATCACTCCGCGACAGAGCCTATTATGGAGTAGAGCAGTGATTAGTCACTTCCTACAATCGTCCGAGTTGCGCATGTTTCACCCGGGCTCCACATGGATCCTACCTGGATCCATCTCGGCTCCACTCCCGGGCGATAACGACACTGTGAACGTGCCTTCCCCCATTTCATGAGCTATAAATCGTGTGTCCGTGCGTCCGACCTTCACCTTGAACAACGGGGCCTGACCTAGGTCAGATAATTCATTTTATATCTTCGATATCATGTCTAATATAAGGGCACAGGGTTTCGGCTTAACCAAAGCAAATTGCATTAATCTCCATTGTGGCCATGTTTTTTTGTGGATATTCATCGATTTTGTCATTTTGGTTATTATTTATATTGACCACATGTTTATATGACGTCATATTCAGTGATTTAGTAATTAACTTGTTTGCAATGAAATCGGTTCTTTATATGATTTACTATGTATTTTAAGCGACGTGTTTGATCTGCAAGATGAAAACATTACTAAACAACAATGAAATTTATATATTTCCTTGCAATTCTGTATTATTTTAAGGCCGACATTCTGAAAAAATCTAGTTCATATTACTTATACTTTTAAAAGGGACCTTTTGATAATTAGAAATATTGTTAAATTCTATCAAAAAAATATACTGAAACAAACATATCTGTCTATTTCTGCCACGTTCAAAATTATTCAACCAATCTGTTTTTATCGGGTCACACTCTATTAATGTCAGCCTTTATGTCGTTCTCTACCTGGATTCCCTCCCTTTGGTGAAGGTCATCCAGTGTAGGGGCAGACAACTCTTGTGTAGGTGTTTGGTTCCGTGGCCCTTGTCTGTCGGTTGTGCTTTACTGGTTCGAACCTGGCAGTGTATACACACACGTGATTTGATGCTGTACGTACAAATTATGTACACAGAGTTTATAATCAGCTGTAAGATACAGGATCAGTTTTGTAAAATCATGGACGAAATTATGTACAGTGGATGTATAAAGTATATCTCGCAATAAAATATGTATAAAATATGACTCACGGTTGCTTTATATGTTTGATATTATATGATTCATTTATGGGGTTTTGCAATTTTCAATATTTGAATGAATTACAATATGCAAGCAAGACATTGATACGACCAGGTCAAAGTAAACCCCAATGCTCTTATACCATAATGGAGAGCGTTATCGATGCGCTAAACCAGTGAAACCAGTCCCCGATACTTGGTATCACGATCCGATAAATATGCAAATGAGGTTACCACATAGGAACTACTTTTAATCTCCGTACATCGATTGAATGTCTCCTTGCTCAATGTACTATTGACGAACGGTGCCAATGAGTTTAGATAGGGGTTTTCCGTTGAATAGGTGATTATGTGGACAAACAGGGCTTCCAAAATATTTGGCACTATATGATTAAAAGATTCATAAGGAGTTTTGAAAATCACTTTTAAATATTATTAAGATTGACGTCATGCGATAAAGATATTATTTACTTAGTGTGTTTCGGAATTGTAAATATCAAATACTAAGAATAGAAAATATGCATTACTGGCGTCAAATACTCTCATGATACAATCGATATTCGAAACAAATGGAAACACACAGAGCTGATAACCTTTTTATGTCCACACCCTTTTAGTCATGACGATACCGCTCAATGTTTCAGAAACCGTTTAACGGATGGAATAATTTATGTACAAGTTCATAACAATTACTGTCCGGATTGTGAGGGTCCTAATTAACGGGGTGAAGACTAACAAAGGTTTTTATGTATAAGTATGAATATCAATACCTAATGATCCTAACTTGGAGAGTTAAAATATTCGAATTGCCATTCCGGATAAAGGAGTGAATGAATGAGTATAGTTTTACGCCGCACTCAGCAATATTCCTTCTATATGGCGGCAGTCTGTAAATAATCAGGTGTGGACCAGACAATCCAGTGATCAACAGCATGAGCATCGATCTACACAGTTTGGAACCGATGACACGTGTCAACCAAGTCAACGAGCCTGACCTCCCGATCCCGTTAGTCGCCTCTTACGACAAGCATCTAACCCAGATTTTCACGGGTCCGGAAAAAGGAGGATACCGTATTAAGCGGGTCCAGATTAACGGGTTATTATGTGTACATGTTTCGTTGTGTTCTTCCCGAGAGCTAAGCGATTTACTTGCGTAGAAACTTCCATACTTGGGTCTTATCATCAATTTCGCATACTAAATGAAGAAATATTGTATACGGCATAAAATGTGCCTGTAATTTGTAGATAAAACGTCCCTGGTAATCCCTCGGGCATTATACTGATGTTGACGGACCTGGTCGTACATCTTGTACGCCGATAAAAACTAATCGATAACCAGCTATGTAATGCGCTGCAACAGCAGGTGCCGTATGTCGGGCGATGAGGCGGTTCACATCGAGGTATTGAACGTTCCAAAAAGTGACTGACTCCAACGTTTGTTTTATGTTGTACGCTCCATTGTGTTCAGTGCTAGTCTGTGGAGTATAATAGCGATCAACAACAGCAGTGGTCGACTCGGCCTGCAATTCTCGTGGTGCTACAGTGTTTAATTCAGGTCAGTGTGTTTGGAATTGGAAATGAAACCTTTATTTTTGTTCAATACCATGGTCGAAGGAGCCGAAATGATTTGTGATCCTTTAGCTATCAGGATCCGCTGATTACTGGTTTGAATCCCAGGCATGCTCCGATGATGGTCCTTGGTCCATGCTCAAACCACTTCATCAGAGATATAATACTCCTGTATTTGTTGAACTAACTTACACCTGGTCGCCTAACATATATTAGCACAAAAAAGGCATGTTTTTTGTTTGTTTGGGTTTTTTGGGGGTGTGTGGGGGGGTGGGGGGTGTCAGGTTTTGGGACCGTGAGACAGAGTACTCATCAGGCTGTCCTCAACTCATTAGTAGTCGAGCAGTTGAAGTGTTCGCTCGCCGTGCAAGAAGTAGGTGTTCGATTTCCTACATTGTTCCCTATTGTGGTATTGTGTAAAATGACACCACTCGCACCACGCGTGTTTAAACAATATCAATTTAGGGGTAACGCTGTTTTTCAGAGCATTATCAATTGCAGAAGCCCTGGGTCAAGTAACTGCCCGACGAAATAAGCAGTTGAAAACACCATGAGCTTCTCCAAATGATAATGTCCTGGAAAGCAGCGTTACTCCTATTGTAATCCTTTTAGAATGAGTAAGTTTAGTTTTACGCCGCTCTCAGCAATACACCAGCTATATGGCGGCAGTCTGTAAATAATCGAGTCTGGACCAGACAATCCAGTGATCAACAGCACAATTGATCGATCTACACAACTGGGAACCGATGACACGTGTCAACCAACTCAACGAGCCTGACAACCCGATCCCGTTAGTCGCCTCGTACGACAAGCATGGGTCACTGAAGATCAATTTTCCAACCAGGATCTTCACGGGTGAAATCATTTTAGAATTACTGAGGGTGGTGTGCATGTGGATGAGGGTATGGCTTTGTGTATGGATGGGGCGATAATCCACTGTATTGCGGATTTGAAACTCGGGTATGTTTGCAAAGAATTTTTAAAACATTGTTATCAGCATAGAAACATTGATGATACGGATGCCGTTAAACCAATCATCACCATGGTAGGCTAGCCTAAGGATTAAAGCGTCCAGGTTCCATTTCAGACAATGGGTACGATATGTGAATCCCATTTCTGGTGTCCCCCGCCGTGATATTGCTGGAATATTGCTAAAAGCGGCGTAAAACCATACTCACTCACCGTCATCACTTTGTCTCATCCTCGTTACACAGGGTATTTTATCTCCAATTCACTCTGCAGGGCTTCGTCCGATGATCGGGTACAAACTCCAAAGAGAGACTTATGATCCCCGAATGAGAGTTTGCTTACGCTATTATGGAGTAATGTGGGTTTTACTGTGTAAGCCTACTGAAGTACCATGCCGCAGTTTAATTTGGTTACTAGCTCCGTGGGATAGCCTAGTGGTTAACGTGTTCGTTCGTCATGACGAGGATCCGGGTTCGATTTCCCACATGGGTACAGTGTGTTGATCCACATCTGGTGTTCCCCTGTCGTTATTTTGTTAGACTATTGTTAAAGGCGGCGTAAAACTTCACTCAGTCACTAACATGGGTATTGTATCAGACAGCATACTGACGCCAAACCGAGCTGTCCTTGTCTTATCCCGTTAATTCAACTCGCCAGGCAAGGTAACAGCAATAAGTACATTTTAACGTCTTTGATAAGACTCGGCCGGGACCCGAACCGCCGATCTTCCGCTCTACAGGCTGATGCTCTGTCCCCTAGACTACCGAAACGACCCCAAAACGAAGTATTTTTTAATCCCAAGAATATATTTTGAAAAGGTATCTTATTTTGAACTATAGAGAGGGGTCAACGTATAGACAACGTTGTACAGCACATCCGTTTTACTCTGGGAAACATTAACTTCCACTTTCCCACAACCTAAAAACATTAATAAATATATTAAAAACAAACAAATATTGATTCTACAAACGAATTAACCTCCTGGGTCGAATGTTATTTAAAGATCTGCCAAGATGGCGATGAAAACTTCAAAACATCCTCTTAAGCTATGATGTTTTCGAATTACAAAGAAGCTTTTAAATGGTCGTCTTATGGCAGTAACACATCCAATCTGATAGTCTGCACTTAAAATATCTGCGGCTCGTCTGTCTTATTTCTAGACAGCTCTTACATTTGTACTCCGTTCAACCCGTGTATGGATGCTTCACCGAGAAGCGCAGTAGGTTGTGTAAGGTATATTCCCCATGCCATTTAAGTAAATACAATGTTTGCCCAACAGCTGATGACTGGGTAAACAGTGAAACGTATATCATCCACTACGGAGAGTGGATCTATTTGCTCTGTGTTTTTCAATACTGTCCGTGTGCGACCTTTTACCATTGCTATTAACAACTAGGTTTTAATGGTCCGTAGCGATATTCTCGATAAAATGCGATTGCGGAAGTAATTTTCCAAATGAACAGAATTAAATGGCACCGAGTACTTGAACACTGGTTCATTAGCCGTAGATAGAACGCCGTATACGTTGCTGATTAACGCTACTTGATTATAACATTGTTTTTCGGGGTGTTTTTCGGGGTGTATTTTGCATTGGTAGCATCCTGTTGCAATGGGACTGAGGAAATCCGGTAAGGTTGACGTTAAATGTAGATTGCCCGGGTTTGAATATCACATTGATATGATCCGTTAAATCCATCGGTTTAACTACTGGTGTGATACCTAACACTCACTCACTCACTCCACGGTCACTCCGGACAATCTACACGCCTGATCGAATGCCTCCATTAACGCATGCTTTTCTCCTGAACATGTCACGTGCTTCGTCAAGGGAGATAATTAGCGTAATCTGCTGGCACGACAATAAGATGGCGTCACGCGTGTTCTGGCTTTGGCAGTGTGTTGTATTAAACAGAACTTTTAACACTCTCATTACTCGAGGGACGGGCATTTATGCGTGCTAAATCTGTGAATGATTCCCCACAATATGTCGAAGGGCTATTTCCTAAGCACCAGACAGAAACAAAGGGAATGATTCATAGAATTACAACAACTGCTCTTTCCTACTTCAATAAACTCAATCCATTATCTTTAGGCCTAATCAAGCTGTATCGTCACCTAGCCATGAAACCAGTTCGGCCGTAACACGGAGGAACCCAGTCTCTTTAGCACGATCCCCAAGCGATGCTCATCTGAACGTTCCAATCTCATCTGAACATCAAACAGGAACATGAGAACCAATGTTACAGCCGATGGCTGCTAATTGTCGTGCTCAGTCCTGTGACGGTGAGATTTTCTGCCTGATTGTTATTTTAACCGTTGAACCTTCACGTGTGTGATGAACTGCGCAACTCAATTATGCAACATATAGAATGAACCAGTCGAGCATTAAAGTAAATCGCGCACATGGCTAAAACTGACGTTTTAACTTAAAAGCAAAGCGGGGAAATTGCATGGTTCGGTAACTAATATGAATTCACAGCCGGAAAGATCGTCTCGAGTTTGTTATCATCTTTTGGATGAAGATGTTAGGGTCTTGGGCAGCATTGTTGGTGTACCTCAAAACCCAAGTTCGATTCCGTGGGAATATTCCGTGGAGATGTGGGTTCAAATATAGGAGAAACTGCATCTAACCTAGGAGAAACTGCATCTAACCCAGGAGAAACTGCACCAAAGTTTTAAACTTAGGAGATTCTGCATCAAACCTAGGAGATTCTGCATCAAACGAACGAGATTCGTGCTCAAACCTGTGTGAAACTGCATCAAACCTGGGAGATTCTGCATCAAACCTAGGAGATTCTGCATCAAACCTAGGAGATTCTGCATCAAACCTAGGAGATTCTGCATTTCTGCATCAAACCTTGGAGATTCTGCATCAAACCTAGGGGATTCTGCATCAAACCTAGGAGATTCTGCATCAAACCTTGGAGATTCTGCATCAAACCTTGGAGATTCTGCATCAAACCTAGGAGATTCTGCATCAAACCTAGGAGATTCTGCATCAAACCTAGGAGATTCTGCATCAAACCTTGGAGATTCTGCATCAAACCTTGGAGATTCTGCATCAAACCTAGGAGATTCTGCATCAAACCTTGGAGATTCTGCATTTCTGCATCAAACCTTGGAGATTCTGCATCAAACCTAGGAGATTCTGCATCAAACCTAGGAGATTCTGCATCAAACCTCTGCATCAAAGGAGATTCTGCATCAAACCTTGAGGAGATTCTGCATCAAACCTAGGAGATTCTGCATCAAACCTTGGGAGATTCTGCATCAAACCTTGGAGATTCTGCATCAAACCTAGGAGATTCTGCATCAAACCTAGGAGATTCTGCATCAAACCTTGGAGATTCTGCATCAAACCTAGGAGATTCTGCATCAAACCTTGGAGATTCTGCATCAAACCTTGGAGATTCTGCATCAAACCTAGGAGATTCTGCATCAAACCTTGGAGATTCTGCATCAAACCTAGGAGATTCTGCATCAAACCTAGGAGATTCTGCATCAAACCTTGGAGATTCTGCATCAAACCTAGGAGATTCTGCATCAAACCTAGGAGATTCTGCATCAAACCTTGGAGATTCTGCATCAAACCTAGGAGATTCTGCATCAAACATCCCTAGGAGATTCTGCATCAAACCTAGGAGATTCTGCATCAAACCTTGGAGATTCTGCATCAAACCTGGAGATTCTGCATCAAACCTAGGAGATTCTGCATCAAACCTTGGGAGATTCTGCATCAGGCCTTGAATTCTGCATCAAACCTTGGAGATTCTGCATCAAACCTAGAGATTCTGCATCAAACCTTGAGATTCTGCATCAAACCTTTGGAGATTCTGCATCAAACCCTGAGATTCTGCATCAAACCTTGGAGATTCTGCATCAAACCTAGGAGATTCTGCATCAAACCTTGGAGATTCTGCATCAAACCTTGGAGATTCTGCATCAAACCCTAGAGATTCTGCATCAAACCTAGGAGGAAATTCTGCATCAAACCTGAGGATTCTGCATCAAACCTTGGAGATTCTCATGCATCAAACCTAGGAGATTCTGCATCAAACCTAGGAGATTCTGCATCAAACCTTAGGGAGGAGATTCTGCATCAAACCTAGGAGATTCTGCATCAAACCTAGGAGATTCTGCATCAAACCTAGGAGATTCTGCATCAAACCTGGAGATTCTGCATCAAACCTAGGAGATTCTGCATCAAACCTAGGAGATTCTGCATCAAATTCTGATTCTGCATCAAACCTAGGAGATTCTGCATCAAACCCTGGAGATTCTGCATCAAACCTTGGATTCTGCATCAAACCTAGGAGATTCTGCATCAAACCTTGGAGATTCTGCATCAAACCTAGGAGATTCTGCATCAAACCATGGAAACCATCACCCTGGATTCTGCATCAAACCTTGGAGATTCTGCATCAAACCTAGGAGATTGATTGCATCAAACCTAGGGAGATTCTGCATCAAACCTTGGAGATTCTGCATCAAACCTAGGAGATTCTGCATCAAACCTTGGAGATTCTGCATCAAAAGATTCTGCATCAAACCTAGGGAGATTCTGCATCAAACCTTGGAGATTCTGCATCAAACCTAGGCATTCTGCATCCTAGGGAGATTCTGCATCAAACCTCAAAGGGGATTCTGCATCAAACCTAGGAGATTCTGCATCAAACCTGGAGATTCTGCATCAAACCTAGGAGATTCTGCATCAAACCTAGGAGATGCATCAAACCTTGGGAGATTCTGCATCAAACCTTGGCATCAAACCTAGGGATTCTGCATCAAACCTAGGAGATTCTGCATCAAACCTAGGAGATTCTGCATCAAACCTAGGGAGATTCTGCATCAAACCTTAGGAGGCAGATTCTGCATCAAACCTAGGAGATTCTGCATCAAACCTAGGAGATTCTGCATCAAACCTTGGAGATTCTGCATCAAACCTAGGAGATTCTGCATCAAAAACCTAGGATTCTGATTCTGCATCAAACCTTGGAGATTCTGCATCAAACCTTCTGGATTCTGCATCAAACCTAGGGAGCATCAAACCTAGGAGATTCTGCATCAAACCTAGGAGAATCAAACCTTGGAGATTCTGCATCAAACCTTGGAGATTCTGCATCAAACCTAGGAGATTCTGCATCAAACCTAGGGAGGAGATTCTGCATCAAACCTAGGAGATTCTGCATCAAACCTAGGAGATTCTGCATCAAAAATTCCTCAAAGGAGATTCTGCATCAAACCTTGGAGATTCTGCATCAAACCTTGGAGATTCTGGGAGATTCTGCATCAAACCTTGGAGATTCTGCATCAAACCTGGAGATTCTGATTCTGCATCAAACCCTGGAGATTCTGCATCAAACCTTGGAGATCAAACCTAGGGATTTCTGCATCAAACCTTCTGGAGATTCTGCATCAAACCTAGGAGATTCTGCATCAAATCAAGATTCTGCCCTGGAGATTCTGCATCAAATTCTGCAGGAGATTCTGCATTTCTGCATCAAACCCTGGAGATTCTGCATCAAACCTTGGAGATTCTGCATTTCTGCATCAAACCTTGGAGATTCTGCATCAAACCTTGGAAATTCTGCATCAAACCTTGGAGATTCTGCATCAAACCTTGGAGATTCTGCATCAAACCTAGGAGATTCTGCATCAAACCTTGGAGATTCTGCATCAAACCTAGGTCTGGCCTAGGAGTAGGAGATTCATGGTGAAGCCTAAAGGATTCTGAATCTACATCAGGAGAGTCTGGGTCAAGCCTAGGAGATTCCTGATCAAAAAACGGAACTTCTGGATCAAGCCTAGAAGCATCTAGGTTATACCTTGCCATTTTGCATCAAACCATTGAGATCATCTCGATCAAAACAGATTCCTGGAACTCATACCTCTTTTAAAAGCCGGCTAAAAATTATGATCACGTTTAAAAATGGGCCTGACTGACAGTGCCCAACGAAATCATTGATCTGAATTGTTGCACATGACATCAATCAGTAGTTTGTCAGGATCATACCTGATTATTAGTACTCCCTATGTGTCATGTGAGCCAATTGATGATGTTACTTACAGTTATATTGCTGGTGTATCCTGCTGTGATATTGCTGGTATTCCTCTGTGATATTGCTGGTTTACCCTGGTGTGATATTGCTGGCGTACCCTGATGTGATATTGCTGGTATTCCTCTGTGATATTGCTGGCGTAGCCTGCTGTGATATTGCTGGTATTCCTCTGTGATATTGCTGGTATACCTTGCTGTGATATTGCTGGCGTACCCTGCTGTGACATTGCTGGTATTACTCTATGATCTTGCTGGTGTATCCCACTGTGACATTGCAGGTATTCCTCTGTGATATTGCTGAGATATTACAAAAAGGCCATAAAACTCTACACCAAAAGAATAGACCGACATGATATTGCTCAAATAGTGCTAACATCCACATTAAACAATATCTACTCACCCTACTCACAAGGAACAATGTCTAATTCAAGTTGATTCACCCCTATGGCCTGTAAGAATGACATGTTTAAGTTAGTAAAACGATATTGATCGTGACAGACACGCAACACACATGCCATAGATGCTTGCCCCCTCAAAAAACATGCTGGCATGATAAACTAATCTCCTCAACTGCTTAGCTAAAATGAAAATATAAACATTTTTTAACCTGTATTGTCCTATAATACAAACGGCATATTCCTATCAAATGTTGAACACTACACTGACGAAACATTGCTGTACGTGTATTAATATGGGTTGGTTTCGAAACTGACATCTGTTGTCGGATCCATGACGTGTTCGGGTGAATGCCTGTTCATTCAATAGGCTGTCGGAATCGTATACAAACACGAAGGTTTCTGTATGCCGACGTTAACGTAACGTAACACGACGTTGTGTTTGTATATCATCTGTTCCACGGAGGACACTGTTTACACACGGCTGATGGATATCCGATGTCATGTGATCAATTTAGATCAATTAGATCTGCCAGCAATTCGTGCAGGTAGGATTACCTGTCCCCTTACGGCTACGACGCCAGGTAAATACGCCGTCCGCGCAACGACTTCGTGAAGTAGAACGCAACGTTCTGGGGGGCACTTTCTCCCAGCGTTAAGGACGACCCGGCTGGATGGTCGGTATTTCAAACATTGGAGTGGCGTTCTCCTCACAGCGACGGGGCAATGCATGCGTTATTATGAATATCTGTTTGATCAACGCCCGTATTAAGTGTTACGGCACTCGTATAGACATCCTGTTCTGAAAGATCGAGACAGAAAAATGTTAATCTTTTCCGTTTTATCTTAAATAGTGGCAATGACTCAGAGTCTTCGTAAGAACACTACACCGTTTTAAGTTCCCCGGGTACAAGACCTTTGCTTTGATATGTTTTATTCATGGTTTCAAAGTCTTTCTCAGCATGGCGCACTCTTTAACTGAACGAGATAGTGCTGAATTCCATTGCTGTCGGTAGCGCTGAAGCTTGTTCGTGGATACGTGTACACCTTCAGCCTTAACTCGGTATGAGAAATAAACTTCTACTTTCCGTAAGAGGGGTGAGTCAAACCAAATTTCGATATAAATTGAAAGCACTAAAGGGATTTCATGGGATGTAAAAAGCTTTTTTAATAATTTAGTTTTATGCGTAAAATAGGTGGTAGTTAGGTTTATTATTGTTAACATTGACATATATAGATCGGTCCTGTTTCATGGACGGTTATTGCGTGATGTTTATTTCAGGACTTGCCTAGGAAAGTGTTTTCACAAACTCGGCGTCACGATTTTACGAATTCAATCTGTGCAAGGAATTAAGGGACTATCCGCATAAAATCCCCCTTGGTTATATTTAGTTCGTAGTAAGTGGAACAGCACGATTGGGGTATGTGTGGCGTTTGACTGTTAGAGGGATATACAGCTACTGTCATTACGAACATAAATCACCCCAACTAGATGAGGCGGGGGACTTTTTCAACTCCGTGATGGGGAGGCTGGAATCATTGGGGGAAATGATGGGATTTAGCTCTGGCAAATGACTGAGTAAGTTGTGTTTTACGCCGTTTTCAGCAATATTCCAGCGGGATCACGCATCTGGCTTTTTACTGAGGGGCAGTTTGAAATCATGGGGGTAAATGATCGGATTAAGCTCTGGCCAATAATTGAGTGAGTTGTGTTTTACGCCGAAATATTCCGTTAGGAGCACGGCATTGGACCTTTTACGCTCTGTGAAGAGGCAGTTTGGAATCCTTTGGGAAATCATGGGATGTAGCTCTTGCAAATGATTGAGTGAGTTGGGTTTTACGCCGTTTTCAGCAATATTCCAGCAGGATCACGCATCTGATTTTTTGCGCCCGCGAGGGGCAGTTGGAGTCTTGGAGGTAAATGATGGGATTTAGCTCTTTCAGATATTGAACGAGTAATGTTTTATGCCGTTTTCAGCAATGCTCCAGGATATAAAACAAGGTATCCGTTGTGTACATATATACAAAATACAATGCTATTGAATTCTGGTTAATGTGCATCTTTTCAATCTGGACACCCTTCAATCCGGATGGTTAACGCCATGAAACGCTTAGTATATTAACTTGCGAGAAACTGATCCACTTTGGTTGTTTTATGCCGTAAGCGACAACAGTCCATGCACCAGTGTGAGCAAAGATCTACGGCGAGTGAAGTTCGCTGATCCACAATCAAGTAAGTGACAAACCCGACCCGAAGTTCTAACCAGGCCAGGTCACTAAGCCTGACCACCCGATCCACGGAATCGCCTCTCACGATATTCCTGCATGGGTTGCTTGGACAAGTTCTAACCAGGCCAGGTAACCAAGCCTGACCACCCGATCCACAGAATCGCCACTCACGATCTTCCTCGGTTGCTGAGACCAGTTATAACCAGGCCAGGTAACCAAACCTGACCACCCGATCCACGGAATCGCCTCTCACGACATTCCTGGGTTGCTGGGACAAGTTCTAACCAGGCCAGGTCACCAAGACTGACCACCCGATCCACAGAGTCGCCTCTCACGATATTCCTGGGTTGCTGGGACAAGTTCTAACCAGGCCAGGTCACCAAGCCTGACCACCCGATCCACGGAATCGCCTCTCACGATATTCCTGCTTGGGTTGTTGGGACAAGTTCCAACCAAACCGGGTCACCAAGCCCCACCACCCGATCCATTCAGATGTCTCGAACGATAATCTTGCAATACGGGGACCAATTCGAGTCACACAAAACTCCAAAAGCGATACTGACACTAATAGCGTACACACATAAACCAACACGCCATGGAATATCTTATTGGCCTGAACTTTAATGGCGCAATACGAGATTTGCCCCCAAGCATTGTGAATTGAAATTAAGTAAAATGTAATTTTATTCTTCCGCTACCTGAATTTTTTATCTCTAGAAATGATAACGTGCAATCGCCGAGTCTGATCAACCGAATGCATTCAGTCTCCCGACAAATAGGGGACGGTGGGGTAGCCTAGTGGTTTGAGCGTTCGCTTGTCCAGCCAAAAACCCGGGTTCGATTCCCCAAGTGTGAAGTCCATTCCTGGTGTCCTTCGCTATATTATTCCTGGAATGTCGCGAGCCTTTGTCAAAGTATGCCGAGTTACACGATCGTCTTAGTGTTAAAATCTCTTCGTTGAACTGAGCCCTAGTCCTCAGGTTGCAATTTGCAACCCTCGTCAATATGGACACCCTGGATTCCGGATGGTTAAGGAGACGTATGTAGATAGAACGCTTCCCGACATGTAAGTCAAATCTTAGGATCAGTCTAAACCTTACCTAAATGTTGGTTTAAAACCGTTAGAAATTAATATGAACGAAACTGATTTAGCTTTAAGGCTGGTATCATGGAGGAATAAACTAGGCAACACTCAGCACATTAAGGAGTCATGTCTGACGTCACAGACTGATTAGGTACACGTGTAGGACCAAATAAACTCCCAAATTCTACTAACATTAGCCAAAACCTAATTCAAACATAAAGCAAGCATGAAAACCAAGAGCTGTTGAGTCTTATAAGTGTAAAGCAGTTAATTATTAGCCCTGAATTATGCTAACTGAAAGTACATATTTATAGACCTTGCATGTGCTGTTAGGGTCATAATAAACCTATTTAAAGAATTCTTTCACTGAAAATACACGAAGTCAACTTTCGGAGAAGGGTGCAAATTTTATGTGACTATAACTCGGTGCAGGACGTACATGTTAAATGAATATAAAACTCCTGTAATTTTCTCGAAATGAAGTTTAACGTCGGGGAATGAAATAAAATCGTTTCAATTATACAGGGTTATGCATGTTCATGTTAGTGTGGATGCTTAAAATTTGTACTTGTCTTTAGCTCCTCCCCTGAAATACCAGTCTAACATGAACACCCGTAGCCTAAAGACTACACGGCGACCAGTCCTTGTTTTATGCCTTAATGCTGAGCGCAAGGCAGGGCAAAAATAAGTACCATCGTTTTACGTCGTTTGGTTTGACGAGGCCAGGGATCGAACCGCCGACCTTTGGCTGTCCGTGAACGCTGTGTCCACTGTACCATGAAGACAGGTCATCAGTTATATGAAAAGTTTCAACTCGTTACAAACGAATGAGGAGTTAGTAATGATGAAACATATGAAATGGTCAGTCGTCTGGGGCGCCACAAGTCGTTATGCAGAGTTGCGTCCCTTAGGCGTGACAGATACCTATATTTATCAATTCATCCTGATTGTGTTTACAGATTGTCAGCACCATACTCATGTAGTTTCACCGAACTAAACGCCAAAGGTCGCCATCACTTCGGACTGTCCTTCCAAATGGTCAAGCGATTTTAGACGTCATAGGTATCGACGTCAACATCTTTGACGTCAACACTTTTCTTGACATCTGAGACATGTTTACGTCCTCGATTGTCCCATGTGTCCTACATCATATTTTGACAAATACTAATATTTCGAACCCATCTGATAACCATTGTGATAACTGTCCAATGAAATTCACCCAACAAGAGAAAGAAATGTTTTGCGAAATCGGAGGTAGGAGCAATGGAGGTTATGATGTAAGTCCAGGGCCCCGTTCCTCAAAGCGATCGTAGCGCTACGACAGTCGTAACTCCCATACTTTAGCATAGACTTACGACTGTCGTAGCGCTACGATCCCTTTGAGGAACGGGGCCCTGGAGCGCTAACAAGATGAATGACCTCAGGGCATGTATCAGAATATTCTAACTTTGTTCTGTTTATATTTCACGTCATTCGTTCAACCATATAGCGAAGAGAAAACGTACACCATTGAGTTCGTTTGTTTGTTGTGTAACGCCGCAATCAGCACTGGTTCAGCTATGTGGTGGCGGTCTGTAAATAATCGAGTCTGGACCAGAAAATCCAATGATTGGGATACGATGACATGTGTCAACCAAGCCAGCGAGCCTGACCACCGGATCCCGTTAGTTGCCTCTTACGCCAAGTATGGGTTGTTGCAGATCTATTCTGAAAGCTTGCGTTGACCTGCGTTGATATATTTGATATCACAAGACACTCTGTAACCGGATCTTCATGGGTACACCATTTCGCCAAAAATCATTTATTTAAAAGCAATTTTTTCAATTTTCAGATAACTATAGTATGAGACAATGCAACCTTGAGAGAAGTAAACCTGTAGTCAAAGAGGAACGGAGCCCTGATGACTGACTGACTGACTGAGTTTGGTTTTAAGCCGCTTCAGCAATATTCCAGCAACATCACGGCGGGGGACACCAGAAATGGGCTTCACACAATGTACCCATGTGGGGATTCGAACCCGGGTCTTCGGCGTGACGAGCCAACGCTTTAACCACTAGGCTACCCCACCGCCCGGAGCCCTAATGAACCAGGTCATGTAGATTTGAATCTGTGAAACGGTTAGACTTCTTTCATCTAGAACAATAACATAGGGACGACTGGAAGGAAGAGAAAAAGAGAAGAGGAAGGTGTGGTTCAGGGACTGTGACGCAGACTAGTGTTATAATGAGTGAGTTGAGTTTTACGCCGCTTTAAACAGTATTCCAGTGACACAACTGAGTGTAGGCTTGATGTGGAAGAAGACGTGCGATCTCAGATGTTTACCACTGTGGTAAAACCCACGACGGGTATATTGTAGACACACTCGGGAAGAACAGGGATTCGAACCCAGATCCCGGATTTCGTCGTGTCGAAAGGACACAGTTTTGACGATTCAGACGAATGCGCTTTAAGAAAAATGTTAAAGGTTCAGATTGCTTCAAAGTTCATTTGAAACCCTGAGATGCAGCCCGAACCTTGTGAAATACAATGCAGCTTGGTGTGAAAACCAACACGAGGCCATTAGTCCTCCTGAGACCCTAACGAAAATAGGGGACAGAATTATATATCATAGGAGACGCGCTGTATACCTGACCACGTGACCCTATCGCGTTGGTCTTCTCGTCTGTTACCGCGAGAAAACGTGTCGGATCCATAATGATCAAAGTGTGACGAACTCTTTGGGCCTAATTCCGCTGTCTTCCACATCATCAACAGCTCCATATGTACAACAGTGGCAGAGGCGTGAACACATCTGCTAATCAGACGATGAGTGTGATGAAGTGATGATGATCCCGTCGTCTTGGGGGACGGCTCGATACAAGTCACCTATTATCTACAAAGCACAATCAAATAACCTTCTGCATCCAGATGTACACTCTCACAGCCTCCTGAAACCCGATCCGCATCAGCAGCAAAATACCTTCTAAAGATGTCCTTTCAGACAGAATTACGTGAAGCAGCGCGTCCATTCGGATTAGATGTCAATCTATATGCTTACTGTCACTCAAATTATCAATATACGTACACACAAGCATAGAAAATCAACAGATGTCGGACAACAATTCCTATTTCCATTATTAATCATATTTAATGCGTCGGTATACTGAAAGCTGGTGTGTGTTCCGCTAATGACTCATGCAATATAACGCCATGTACTTCCGTGATCCGTGGGACTTGGGATTACATCCTTTCTAACAAGAAACGTATAAATAAATAGATCAGCAATGTCTACTAATAGTTCATACCAACTACTCAATACACAAGATGCCAAAGCGGAGTCTAGACACAGTTAGGCTTCCCAATCGGTTTAGGAAAGATTGAGGGTCTCCGGGGGGTAAGGAAAGTAGAGTTCTTCATGATAGCTCCAGGAATGAAGCCTTGATTGGCATCAAAACACCGCATGGAGACATCAACAACGACCGAGATGAGCTGATGGATAGACTGCTGTTTCACCATACCTTAAAGGTATATGCGTTTCATAAGTGCACATGTGTTATTCGTCTATTGCTCGAAGGTCCAAACTGCACCATAAAAGTTCTAACTCTATCTTCAGGATAAGATTTATGCGAATGTATTATACGCCAAAACTACTGGAATAGTAAAGGGCGTAATCATATCCCAGCTAACACACAACGTTTCCACTACCTTGTGGAAAGATTGGTAACGTCAGGACTCAGCGTTGTCACAACGTTAGTATCACGTCATTATATAACGTTATTTCATAACGTTACAGCAACGTTACGTATATACGTTGTCAAAGCGTTGTGCATCGACTATTACTCAACGTTATGTTTAAACGTTTCTGAAACGTTGATGCGACGTAATCTCTTTCCCAAATAATCGTAAGAACAAGAGCGTACACCGAATTATTCGTATTTTCTGCAGAAAATAAGACCGTAGTGCATTATTTACTTATTATATTACACTTTGTTATTTCCATCCCATAAATATACTGATGTCACAGTAACGTCATTTCCATTCTAACTGACAACGTTAATAATAAAAATGACCTATCATAACATCACGTCGCTACGTTGTGACAAAGTAAATGGGAGTCCACAGATTCACGTTGTGACAACGTAAATGGGAGTCCACAGAATAACGTTGTTACAACGTAAATCGGAGTCCACAGAATAATGTTGTTACAACACAATTCGGAGTCCACAGAATAACGTTGTGGCAACGTATATGGGAGTCCACAGAATAACGTTGTAACAACTTAAATGGGAGTCCACAGAATAACGTTGTGTCAACGTAAATGAGAGTCCACAGAATAACGTTGTTACAACGTAAATGGGAGTCCACAGAATAACGTTGTAACAACGAAAGCATAACGTTGTGACAACGTAAATGGGAGTCCACAGAATAACGTTGTGTCAACGTAAATGAGAGTCCACAGAATAACGTTGTGACAACGTAAATGAGAGTCCACAGAATAACGTAACAACGAAAGCATAACGTTGTGACAACGTAAATGGGAGTCCACAGAATAACGTTGTGACAACGTGAAATCGTTAGCTGGGATGGCGTCGTCAAAACCACAGGGCTACGCTTACTGGTTTTACGTCAAAATTGCGTGCGTTCGTGCGTGCGTGCGTGCGTGCGTGCGTGCGTGGGTACGAGTGTGATTTAATATTTATTTACATCGCGGTTTGCTCCACCTAATCACTGGAGAAAAAATAAAGTCAATGAAAACCTTCAAACCACACCGGGAATATACCAAATTTCGTTCCTCTCGTTTCACACACAGTCAAAAATCTATTCAAACTAACCTAAAGTCGCACGAAAGACTGTTAATAGTGGGTTCGTATGGAAAATTCCCAATTATTGTTTCAAAGTTGTAAGCAGTATGTTCTCATCTGTGGGTTTCACCAACACCCTGCATGCTTTCGGGCTTTTCCCATATCCAACCGACGCTCTGTCAAAATTGAAAAACCGTTACACCAAGCCCATTTCTTTCCCCGAACAACACACAGCAATCCGATTCGATGCAGATCAATCCAATTTAATTCAAAGCCATCCACATTTAGATCTATCCATACACTCGAAAAAAGGAATTTAATCGACTCCTATACATTTTTATTAAGCGTTCACTCCAAAAACGAACATTTAAGAATGAGCGTTAAGTCCATGATCTTTCGAAAGCGTGGAAACAGATCTTTTTTCCTGTGTTGGCCGTATTTCTAGCGGCAGCCAAAGAGAAGATAATCCCCCGTTGGCCCTTTTTATCAACCTGGACATTTGGTTTAGTTCCCTACAATGAATCATGTGGGGTCGGATCAAGACACAACCGCTTCCTCTTTTACCGTTTTCATTAGTCCGGTCTCCTGTAAAAGCTTTTACGATGTTGAAAAACCAAAACAAACTTTTTGCAACGTTCTGTGATTCCTTTACATGGCGATGTTGAATAAAAAATACCAAACTTTTTGCAAAGTTTTGTCTTACCTATCTATAGCGACGGGAATCAAAAAAAACTTTTCACGTTCTGGCCTACCTGTACAAGGGGTTTCTTATACAGAAAAAGTAAAACTTTGAGGTTATGCGCCATTTGAAGGTCTAAGAAGCGAGGATGGAATCAAAACCCGAAACCCTGGAACATCGTGGCATACCCTTTACACATCATTGATTTCGGGGAACAGTTCATAGCGCCCAATGAGTGAGTGAGTGAGTTTAGTTTTACGCCGCTTTTTGTGATATTCCAGCAATATCACGGCGGGGGGCACCAGAAATTAGGCGTTTCTGGTTGACAATCGAGACTGGTTATTCTTTGGCGTTGTCGCCTTATAACTATTTTGTAATATGTCAGAAGATTTGGCAGTTTTTGTGTAAAAACAATAACCAAGGTGCTAGTACGGCTGATGCAACTGGGAGTACGTGCCACTTACGGAGGAGTGGATGAAAAGGTACTTCTCATCGAATGTCCTTGACCTTGTCGAAGCTGTAGTCAACACACCAAGATATTGGTGTCTGAGGCAAATGACAGTCGTTTATCTTCAGGTCATTGGCTGGCTTGTAGCTTCTTCCTCTGTACATTTAGAGGTCATTGGCTGGCTTGTAGCTACTTCCTCTGTGCATTTAGAGGTCACTGGCTGGCGTGTAGCTTAGAACTCAGTACATTTAGAGGCCATTGGCTGGCGTGTAGCTACTTCTTCTGTGCATTTAGAGGTCATTGGTTATCGTGTAGGTACTTCCTCTGTGCATTTAGAGGTCATTGGCTGGCGTGTAGCTACTTCCTCTGTGCATTTAGAGGTCTTAGGTTATCGTGTAGGTACTTCCACTGTGCATTTAGAGGTCATAAGCTGGCGTGTAGCTACTTCCTCTGTACATTTAGAGGTCATTGGCTGACGTGTAGGTACTTCCTCCGTGAATTTAGAGGTCATTGGCTGACGTGTAGCTACTTCCTCTGTACATTTAGAGGTCATTGGCTGGCGTGTAGCTACTTCCTCTGTACATTTAGAGGTCATTGGCTTACGTGTAGCTTAGTCCTCTTTACATTTAGAGGTCATTGGCTGGCGTGTAGCTACTTCCACTGTGCATTTAGAGGTCATTGGCTTGCGTGTAGCTTTGTCCTCTGTTCATTTAGAGGTCATTGGCTGGAGTGTAGCTACATCCTCTGTGCATTTAGAGGTCATTGGCTGGAGTGTAGCTACTTCCTCTGTGCATTTAGAGGTCATTGGCTGGAGTGTAGCTTTGTCCTCTGTTCATTTAGAGGTTATTGGCTGACGTGTAGCTACTTCCTCTGTGCATTTAGAGGTCTTTGGTTATCGTGTAGCTACTTCTTTTGTGCATTTAGAGGTCATTGGCTGGCGTGTAGCTACTTCCTCTGTGCATTTAGAGGTCTTTGGTTATAGTGTAGGTACTTCCTCTGTGCATTTAGAGGTCATTGGCTGACGTGTAGCTACTTCCACTGTGCATTTAGAGGTCATTGGCTTGCGTGTAGCTACTTCCTCTGTGCATTTAGAGGTCATTGGCTGACGTGTAGCTACTTCCTCTGTGCATTTAGATGTCTTTGGTTATCGTGTAGGTACTTCCTCTGTGCATTTATGTGCCTTCCTCAGCCTCTATGGACGTAAAGGCCACTGTATGCTGTGAGGTATATTCAGGTCACCGAATGACGTGTAGTTTCTGTCGATATTTAGGTCACAGACCAGGATGCTTATAGAGAAGGATGAAGTGTAACTTTTTGTAAGGAGATTCTCATTAACGTAAAGGTTATCACGGCCTTCAAGGCAAACGGCAGAAATAGTTTCAATAAGCCGGTTGGGTATACTTACGAGGCGTGGGATTCAATCACTATGTCGGAACGCGTATTCCCTCATGTCGAAGTCTTTTTCTTGACAATGCCCTTCTGAACTCCCTGTCAACGTCTTTACTCGAAATATCACGTTTGTCCGTCCTCACAAGAGCTTCGCCACATTACGTCAAGTCTATTCCTTGTCTCCTATCACTGTACTCAACCATCCGCCCAAAGCTTTTCCCTGTTGGAACCTGGGATATACATACACAATCCATCCAAGCTCCAATCTTTGCCCAGTTAGTAGCTCATCTTTCCATCCGCTTCCTGAGTACCCTACACAATCTAAATCAACCCTTGCCAAGTTGGTATCTAATATTTCCTTCCCACTTCCTATCCCACTCTAACCTGCACCACCTCACCCCACCCCACCTCATCCCATGCCAGCCTTTGCATAGCTGGTATCTGAATGTTTACCTTTAGTCTACGCCAACTCACGCCTAAGCATCTCATATCCGATCACTTTCACCGTTCCCCAATACGCCCCTCCCTATCTTCCCTACGTCGCCCATCACCCCGCACTACCGTTCCCCAATACGCCCATCCATTTCTTCCCTACGCCACCCATCACCCCGCACTACCGTTCCCCAATACCCCTTCCATATCTTCCATACGTCACCCATCACCTCGCACTACCGTTCCCCAATACGCCCATCCATATCTTCCCTACATCACCCATCACCCCGCAGTACCGTTCCCCAATACGCCCATCCCTATCTTCCCTACGCCACCCATCACCCCGCACTACCGTTCCCCAATACGCCCATCCATATCTTCCCTACATCACCCATCACCCCGCACTACCGTTCCCCAATACGCCCCTCCATATCTTCCCTACGTCACCCATCACCTCGCACTACCGTTCCCCAATACACCCATCCATTTCTTCCCTACATCACCCATCACCCCGCACTACCGTTCCCCAATACGCCCATCCATATCTTCCTTACATCAATCATCACCGCGCACTACCGTTCCCCAATACCCCGATCCATTTCTTCCCTACATCACCCATCACCCCGCACTACCGTTCCCCAATACGCCCATCCATATCTTCCCTACGCCACCCATCACCCCGCACTACCGTTCCCCAATACGCCCATCCCTATCTTCCCTACGCCACCCATCACCCCGCACTACCGTTCCCCAATAAGCCCATCCATATCTTCCCTACGCCACCCATCACCCCACACTACCGTTCCCCAATACGCCCATCCATTTCTTCCCTACATCACCCATCACCCCGCACTACCGTTCCCAAATACACCCATCCCTATCTTCCCTACGTCACCCATCACCCCACACTACCGTTCCCCAATACGCCTTCCATTTCTTCCCTACATCACCCATCACCCCGCACTACCGTTCCCCAATACGCCCATCCATATCTTCCCTACGTCACCCATCACCTCGCACTACCGTTCCCCAATACACCCATCCATTTCTTCCCT